TTTTTTGTATTTTATTATTATTTTTTAGGAAAATGTAACATTAATTAAAGAAATAAATGATTTACGACGTGAATTAAAATCAGCTCGTGTTAAATTACAAGATTTACAAACAGCTATGGGTATAAGTCGTAAAACAGCAGCACGTACAACAGAAGAAATTGTTCAAGCATTAAATACACATCAAAATAATCATTTAGTTAAAGAAAAACAATCAGAATTAGAAAATTTAATTCAACGTCAACGAACTGAAATTCAACGACTTAATGAACAAATTGCAAATATTGAATCTGGTACAGGTCGTACTGGTACAGCTGGTGGTGGTGGTGGTGGTGGTGGTCGATCACGTCCATCATCTGGTCAATTACCACCAATTACATCAGCATTAACTGCTCATTGATATTAAACTATATTCAACAGTTCGAATTTCTATTTTTACTTTTCTTTTCAAAAAAAAAAAAACTAAATAAACATTTAGCCTTTTCACATATACATGAAATCTATCTTATATTATAATTTACATATACAAAGTTCATGAAAATTTAAATATGATAATTGTATTCAATAATTTTCAAGAGAGTTTGATTTTCATAGATTTCAATATACGGTAAGATAAATGTTAGATAGTTTTGTCCTATTTTTCATAATATGAAATTCTCTTGAAATAAAAGAAATAATAAACTCTTAATATCAATTATAGAACAGACATGTTTGTCTGAGGAAAAAAAAACGTGTTAAATAGATCGTTTTCTTTTTTTTTGCTCTTATAGAAAATTTTTTAATAAAACTTTTCATATGATAATTGACATCATGATATATCGAATATTAAAGAAAATATGAATATTATAAAATGTTGAAAATACATACTATGTGTTAATTAAAGAAATTGATAATTAAGTCAATAGCAAAAAAAAAAAAGAAAAATGTATTACTAATTTAACGACCAGACAAATATGAATTTGATCTTATGATTTATCACTTCTATTAGACAACCTTCTCAAGTATGAGTACTTTGAAAGAAAAAAAAAGAAAGTATTCATTTCCTTGTAATATAAATAAAAGTATTATAATTCTAAATTTTTCCAACCATCTCGCGCCATCTGTTTGACATATAATACAATTTAAATATTCAAAGTGTTCATTTACATTAATAATGGTAGCTGATTGATGATTGGTAGAAAAGTCATGTTTTATGTATCTCTTGGATAAACTCCGTAAAATTCTTCCTATTTTCTGACTTATGCCGTCATTTTGTCTTATTCTTTTTTTTTCTTCTCTTCTTCTCTTAACTACATGACTGAGTACCTAATTAGTATAGTCTATGATGAAAGACATTTATGTTCTGTTTTTTAAAAAAAAAAAAAAAAGAAGAAGCGCGTTTTTATTGTTTATGTTATATTCTAGATGACGGAATGTTTTTCAGCTCGTTGTCAACAAGATCGAAAAATAGTTCGACGAGAATTTAATAAATGGACAAAAAATTTATTATTTCAAATTGGTAACAAAAAAAAAAAACTTAATTAAATAAACTATTTTGATTATTATTATTTTCTATTGTAAAGGTTTAGAAACAATAACAAAAAATCATTTCGATTTTGATGTTAATCTATTTAATCAAACAGATGGTTTGATATAAAAATCAAAAAAATTCTATTATATAATTTTTTTTTATATATTAGATGAACAAATACCAATTGATTTTAATCCTGAACAAGAATGTTTATTTTGTATTAATCGACAAGAATATCTTGGCAATAAAAAAGCAAATAATCAAATCAATGAATATCATCATTCATTAACAGAAACAATTATTGATGATGATGAAAATGCACCATTAGATTTAAGTTTAAAACCTACAACAAATAATTCGTCCTTAATTACATCAAATAGTCGAACAAATATTAAGTTAGTATATTATCAATTGTTTTAATTACATAGTAAAATATTTAGTTTTTTTTTTTAATTTTATTAATATTCAGAAAGTTCATAAATAGAATACTTTTATTTTATAGATTTAATTCAATAGAAATTTTCCATTGTTATAATTTAATTTTTCTTAGATCATCTTTAAAATCAATCTTTTAATATTACATAAAGATATATAAGATTTATATTCTCAGAATAGAAGATATGAGAAGTTCTAATATGAATACAAGTCATTTGTCCTATAGTAAAACTTCTTTCTAGAAAAAATTTTTCTCAATAAACAATTTATATTTAACAAAATTCTCATATAAATCTTTTCATTATTAATGTCAGAAAGTTCGTTTTTACTGTATAAAAACATAGATTCATCTATAGATTCTAATCGATATCAGTTTCAAAATATCCTAGATCTTGCACATTTCTAACTGTCTTATATATCAAAGATAGAAGATCTTCTATATGTCAACCCAAAAGTTCGTAGAACGATTTTAAAGAACCTTGTCGGATAAGATAATCTATTCAGAAATGAAAAACCAAATATACCATGTTGTAGAGCTTTTCGAGACGCATCGAATGGTATATAATAAATCCTGTTTTCATAAGACTTTGAAGGAACTAGAGTCAATTCGATTACGCACCCTCACCTAAGTATGATAGGTTACTGAATATTGTGATCCTTGGGATTAGTCGAAAGTATTTTTTCTCACATACAGTTTTTGACGGGCTACAACCTCATATATGTAGCATCTGCGGTCATCTTGTCAGTATAAATACATTAATATTTTTATTTATTTTAGACATCGACCATTGTTTGATATTAAGTCAGATATACCTGCAATGTATGGTCAAGAAGAATTTGATCGTTTTATGTCTGACATGATTACTAGTCAACTTGGTAAAAAAATTTAATTTTCTCTTTTTTTTTTTTACTTTATTTATATATTCAGATTTTTCATCTCAATCATTTTTAAATATGAATCTCTTTCCAACATCATCAACTATTCCTATACATTATTCACAAACAAATAAAAAATTATCTTCATCTATACATGATACACACATAGCTCAATTAGCTAAACAAATGGCATATGAACGTATGTTACAAGAAATTGATTATCAACGTCATATATCAACAAATAAAAAATCAAAAATTTTAAATAATTTTTCATCATCTATTTTAACTGAATCTATTCATGTTAATCATATACTTAATGATGTTATGATGCGTATATTACGTGAAACATTTGAAAAACAACAACAACAACAACAAGTATCATCTGTATCACAACCAAGAGCATCACGTAAAGGTGAATTATTATTTGTTAAAAAACAAAATATTAATAATGATGAACAATTTAATACAAATATTTTTAATCATTTTAATAATAATTATAATACTAAAAAACAACATAAGGTTTGTATATTAAATATTTAAACAAAAAAACAAATCATTTGTTGTTAATTATAGAAAGATTGCTTTTAGATATATTTCTTCAATATCCTTTTTATTTTATCCTCTAGAAATGCAATATGGATAGTAATTTATTTATTATAACAAAACATTATTAATATACCATCTTTTATCGTATAATAGGATAGTCTATGTTGTAGAAGGGAAAATATATATTCTAAATATTTGTGACATTCTCATAGTTATATCTACTGCGGTCTATAAGGTCCAAATTTTCACTCTTCGTATGTAAAACCTATTGGGTACAAAAATTTTCTAGCAAAATTTCATAGTCATTCCAAAGATAAGAGATATTTAGTTTGAGTATTTTTATATTCAATGACTGATGCAATCTACATATTTCTAAGAGAACGAATACTTTGAACTTATTGTTAATTTATATTATACCGAATAGTAAGATCTCATTGTTTGTTTGAAATATAAATACTTTAATCTAATCTAGATAATCCTATGAATATAAGAAATTGAAATTTGAGTTTTTCTTTTTGTAAAACAAATTTTACTTTTTTTTTTTTTTCATTTAGCATAATAATAAAGTAAATCCTTCATCTTCAAGTTCATCATCAACATCAAGTGTATCATCAACTCGTTCATCATCTATACATATAAAAAATAAAAATAAAACAAAATTAAATCATTCAACTAATTATATACCAAAAGGACGATCAAATGAAATAATCAATAATAATAATAATAAAATCATAATTGGTACAGATGGTAAACAAATCCGTCCAAAACGTGGTCAATATCGTCGTTATGAATCTGAACAATTAGCTAAAGCTGTAGCAGCTGTATTAAGTAATGAAATGTCTGTACATAAAGCTGGTTCATTTTTTGGTGTACCACATTCAACAGTAAGTTTTAATGAAAGAATTTTTATATGAAATTATTAATTATATTTTTTTTTATTTAAGTTGGAATATAAAGTTAAAGAACGAAATATTAAAGTATCAACAACAATAACAAAAAATAAAAATGAATCTATATCTATTAATGACAATGATAATAATAATAATATAAATCATAGTTAGTATATGAAAAGAAATCATTATGATTAATTTTTTTTTTTTGATATATTTAGATGAAAATAATGATGAAGATGATGATAAATTATCGAAAAGACTTACTACTTATCTTCCTCCATCGAACAGTAGTATAAATAATGATCATCAAGATATAATTGATAATGAAAATGAATCCAATGATGATGATGATAATAATAATAATAATGATGATGATCTTGAAGAATAAATTCAAATGATTTTCTTAGTCAGTCAATATTATTCTTTACATCTTTATAATGATTTTTCTTTTTTCCGTACATACATCAATTTTTACTTTTATTTAGCAGATGATTTCTGTTTCTATATCTGTGTACATATATATATGTATAGTACATGTTTTACTAGTCAAACCAAATACAAAAAAAAAGACAAAACAGAGAGAGAGAGAGAATCTTCATGTAACTTTCTTCTATGTATGTGCATTCCAAGTCCAAAAAAAAAACAAAATTCGTGGTGGAGAATGAATCTTTCTTGTGTGAATTTTTTGTTCTTTTTAACATCATTTCCAAGTTTGTTTTCATTGTATATCTATATGTGTATGATTGTTTTGTGCTATTACTAAGAGATTAAGTATTTGTTTTCTTTTTTTTTTTTCTTCTTAAGTCTGTGTTATTTGATTATGCCATCCAAGAAAACAAAACAATAAACAAAAAAAAAATAAAAAATTTTGTGTCATGTTTTGTGAAATAGAAATATAGATTTATTGTTGTTTTTCTATTTGAGTTTTCTATAGATATATGGGTTGTATATGTGGACGACAAAGTGTAGTTATACAAGGACAAAAATTTCATCTCATACGACAAATTGGCGAAGGGTACATTATTTTATATTTTATTGTTTTTCTAAGTGGGAGTTTTTTTTTTTGTTGGTTATGATTTGAAACGTTTTGATATCTTCTTTTTTGTATAGACCATCATAGTTTGATTATTAAATTTGGTTTTTAGAAGTTTCAGTTATGTTTTTGAAGCTCGTGATACAGCTGATAATCATCTGTATGCTATTAAGAAAATGTCATGTCATACAAACGAAGAAGAAAAACGTGCAAAAGATGAAATAGAAAATTATCAAAGATTTTCACATCCAAATTTAGGTTTGATGTCTTTTTTTTTCTTTTGTTTTCATATTGTCATTATTTTTTTTTGTTCTCAGTTTCATTACTTTATCATGAACAAATGCAATATAATCCAACTTCACATGTAACAAGTATTGTTTGGCTTGTTTTTCCATATTTCAAGGCAAATTATGATTTTTTGTAATTCTAATTGTGATCAAAAATTATAACTTTTTGTTTTTTTTTTTATTTATAGAATGGTTCACTTCAAGATGCTTTTAATAAACAAATAAAATTTACTACTCGTATATTACTTGATTTATTTTTAAGTGTATGTGAAGGAGTTCGTCAAATTCATGAAAAACGAATGGCTCATAGGTAATTATATTTTGTTTATTTATTATTGTTATAAAATATTGTTTTTTTTTTTTTGATTTATAGAGATTTGAAACCAAGTAATATTATGTTATTAAATAATTCTCATGGTGTTATATTAGATTTCGGTTCAATGACACCGGCATCAATTTTAATGACTACTAGATCAGAAGCACAACAATGGCAGGTAATATATTTCTATTAATTATTTATTATTTCACATATATATATTCTATTTTTAGGATTGGGCAGAAGAAAATTGTTGTGTACAATGTAATCAATCTTATGTTCTCTTTTATTTATTTATTTATTTATTTAAATAGATCGTGCACCGGAATTATTTCATATTGAAACAAATTCTTTAATTACTGAAAAGACTGATATTTTTTCTCTTGGTGGAATTCTTTATGCATGTTGTTTTGGTAAAGGTCCATTCGATGATGTTTATTCAAGAGGAGATAGGTATATATTTAATTAAATATTTTTATTAGAAATTAAGAAAATGTAAATATTTTTAAGTTTCAAATCGGGTTCTTTTTTTCGATCGAAACAATATTCATATGATGAATAATAGAAATGTCTTGAATATTTTAGTTTTAGATATGAATAATATTTGTTTTGTATATACAATAAAATTTCGATATCGGCTTAGAAAATTAAATTATTAAAGATAGTCATTCTAAATATCCGGAACAGAGATGAAATCGGTATCGAGTACCGGCCCGGTAACCAGTAAACCGATCTGTCTAACCTTACTATCAGTTTTAGTTGTCAAAAATTCAGACTAACTCCATCTCTATATGAGGTTTGTGATACAACTTGGCAAATATAGTTTGTCACGCGATAAACCATGTTCTCTACATCTAAACCACTTTTTGTTCGAATTGTGAGTTATCGAGGTATCATGTGTTACCGGTCGGAGAAATTTTAGACAGGTTTCATCTCTGATCTGGAGAGTGAATCTTCCAATCTTGAAAATTAGTCTTGTTTCTTCAGCGTCGTGTTGTGTTTTTTCCTCATCAACTTAATCAGCCACTTGAATTATCGATTCTCTTTCCAATCCTGACGATCGCAGAACATATCTACTAACTATTCAAATCTAAAAAAGCTTGTCGACTATCGAAAGTCTTTTAATAATAATTTTACTGTCCGACAGACTAAAAATATTTTCGTTTTCCATATAAAAACTTAATATTTTATTTTAGTGTTGCTTTAGCAGCTGCAAGTGGTCGTATTGAATTACCAGTTCAATCGACAACTTATCCATCTAGTATAATTGATATAATGCTTGCAATGCTTCAAACAGAACCTAATCGACGGCCATCAATTACTGAAATTATTGAAAATATTTCTAATGCATCTCGTTTAGTTATGAATATTGTTTAAAAATTTCTTTTATTTTATCGATAAAAATCTTCTCTTTTTTTTTTACTTCTTCTCTTGTTAACGTTTACAAAACAAATGTACACAGTTTCTAGAATATAGTCACAAGGTCGAAAGAAAACAAAAACAAACAAACAAACAAACAAACAAGGAATAATCTGAACGGTAAAAATAATAAAACAAACAAAAAGAAACAGATCTGTTTTCTATAACCAAATTTCTAATTGACTATCTTTACAAATAATTTCATATGTTTCACTATGTTTTAAACGAAATGAATGGATTTCTAAATAATTTCGTACTTGTCTATCATCTTGTGTATATTTATCTAAAATATATTTATTTGTTCGTTGAATTTTTAAACTAATTAATTTAAAAATATCTAAAATTGTTTTTATAATTTTTAAATCAACATATAATTTTGAATTAATATCAATAGTTAAATGTTCTAAATAAGGAAATAATATTGGTAAATTATTTAATAAACGATTTAAACGATTTTGTCTATCCATTTGCATACAATTTAATTCAAGTGTTTTTATACGTATTAAATATGATATATTAGGTGAAGGAATTTTAAGAAAATATTTTAATAATAATGGACCTGTAACTGATAATATTGTTAAACATGGTGTTAATGAAAATATTATTGGAAATAATCGACCATCACATTCATTTATAATAAGATGTTTTATATGATAAAATGTTATATTCATTATTTTTGATGATATATTTAATGTATCAGTATTTGGTAAAACAATATTTTGTATTTGTAATATATTTGTTTTAATACAATAATGTTTTAATAAATAAATTAATTGTTGAGTTATATCATTAATTGTACCTTGTGTTGCATCAAGAACAATTTTTTTAACTGATTTAAAATTTTTTTCATAATTTATATTATTAAATAAACGTGAATTTGATGTTGATAATTTTAATGTATCAAATGCATATGGTAATGTAAATAATTTAAAACGTGTTTTATTTGAATGTGGACGCCATATCATATGTCCTATTGGCCAACGTATATTAAATGATGAAAATGATGTTAAAATTAAATTTATACGTAAATGTATATCATCAATTGGCATATCAAAACAAAGTTGAAGTTGTTTTAAACGTGGAAATGAATTTTCAAGAAAAATTTCCCAACGATGACCACTAAAATATATATATATATAGAATTCAAGAAGAATATTAAACGAAAAAGTTTGAAATGAAAAAGAGAAACAAAAAAACATTCGGTTGAAAACAGTGATTTATCTACTGGGTGGGCCGAGTGGGCGCCGCCCACCCGAAATTTCGACTCGCCCACTCGGCTAACGAAACCTAGATGAAACACTGGTTGAAAAAAATCAAAGGATAACATCTTCAAAAATTGATTTCGGATGGCGAAGATGCGGCTAAATTTTCAAAAGACGAAAAAGTAATCGATCGCAAATGTATCGATGTCAACGGCGCCGGTGATTTATCTACTAGGTGAGCCGAGTGGGCGCCGCCCATCCGAAATTTTGATTCGCCCATTCGAAAATATACAGCAGCCATTCGTCTACGGGGTGGGCCGAGTGGGCGCCGCTCACCCGAAATTTCGACTCGCCCACTCGGGAAACGAAACCTAGATGAAACACTGAACGGGGCCTTATACTATTATCAAAAATTTTTGTTTATGGCAGCACTAGAGTCCCTCGGGTCCAAGAATTTGTGGACCCGGACCAGGCCGATCAAGATACACAATGAATTTTGTCTAAAGAAGAAGAAACTTGTCCACTTAATAAAAAATTATGACAAGCCAATCACATTTTATAAGCCAAACAAATGTCATAATTTTTTATAAATAAATTAAGGTTTTTTGAATAAAATGATCAAAAATTTAAACTCGTAAAATATCATTATATTCATCAAAAGATTTTTTTGATTCGGACTCAACGAACGAAAATTTTCAGATCCGGACCCGATGGGCTCTAGGCAGCGCCTGAACTTTGTCTGTTCATAGCGGCGTCGGCGGCTCAGTCGATCGACTTACATCTCTGACTATGTCCATTTTTTTTGGCGTCTTTATTCAGTCGGAATGGAAACAATCTTATACATATCAACTCAGAAGAGATATGTTCGGAAATTATCAATGTATGAGAAAGTTAGTTCTAGGAAAATCCTGAAATCTGTAAATAGTAACTATAAATGCATTATAGTATTTTATTGAAAATTTTTTTTGATTTACTTGATTTGTCTATAAACGCTAAGAAATTTCGATTGACTAGTAGAAAACTATCGAAAATTCTTATAGATTTTTGAACTTCATTTATGTGTATGAAAACTTACAAAATTTACATAATTACTGGGATTTTCTTTCTAAAAAAAACTTGAATATTACTGATTTAGAATACGTGACTTATGACAATATGTCATTCGACATAGGTTTTACATGACAAAAAAACAAAGATTTAGTCTCGATTAGAACCGTCCTGAAAGTTTTCTATTAATCGAATGGGTTATAGTTCTCATTGCGCCAGAATTGATACCATCTTACATGTATATCTCATCATGAGTATGACAAAAAACGATTAACGAAATGTCATTTGAACTCAATTTTATATCGATAATACAAATGAACGAACGATATGAGTTATTTATATATATATATTTATTGATAATTTAATATCAATCATTTAATGAATATTTTGATTTATGAAATAAACATATTTTTTTTTTTGTTTTTACTTACTTAAAATAATTTTGATCCATAGTTGTACGATTAAAATATGCAAGTCTTTCTAATTTAGCTGCACGTATTCGACTTGTCATTAATAAAACAAAACGATCAAAATTTAATTCACTACCAGTAACATCTAATTCAAAATCAATTAAATTTATTGGTGGTTTACCACATAATGGTACATTTAATGGTGTTTGATCAGCAAATAATTTCACACATAATTTTTTTAAATTAGGTACATGTTCTAAAAGTAATAAAAGACTATCAAATGAACGTAATGGAATATTTAATTCTTTTAAATAATCATAATTTATTGGTATATCAATTTTATCAATAAATTGTAAATAATCATTATTATGCATTTCAACTGATATTGATTCTAATGTTTTATTTTGTATTGTACCAAATAAATGATGTTGTAAACAACTTTTATATGTTATTTCATTTGTTGATGATGATGGTCGTTGTATACGTATATTTAAGATTTTTATAGACATATGTTTAAATTTTGAAAAAATAAGATTTAATTCTTCTATTGTTGGATCAATTAATGATATACATTCAAGTGATGGAAAACGATGTAAATTTAAATCAATACGAAATACTTGTTTGATTGCATACTATAAATGAAAAACAGAAAAAGCTTGAAAACAATTGTTTAAAGAAAAGATTTTTTTCTCCTTGTACTCTACATAATATGTCATCCAGGTTTTTTTCTCCGGAGGGATGATTTGAAATTCCGGGAGGGCAAATCATATAGTTCGTCGCACAATGATCGCGAGCCTCGGGGAGGGGGGGAGGTTCTGGATAAAACACTGATGTCATCTCAATAGAGTTAGGTATGTCTTCGAAATATTGTTCACATCAATAATTTATACATTGAATTATATATTATAGGTTTTTTCTGAAGAATCAAATTTATTTAACCTATGTCTACTTTACATGTAGAAATATATTTTCAAAAATATAAATCAACCTAGAGTAGCAGACAAGTGAATTTCTATATCTGATTTCAAACTTCAATATAAATAGCAGATAGATTTTAAAATGAAAATCAATCTATTAGGCAAACCTGTTTCATAATATATGTATGCGTAACGTCAAGCTTGACAATTCTAAATGATGTCATGTGTACTAACGAGGAAACATTCCCAAGTGATTCGCTCTATGAGGAGTTATGGCCGTTTTACTGAAATTTTTACTGTGAGCCAGGCATTACGGAAAAACCCAAAACGCAACATTTCGAGCTGAAATTCTATATATAGATAGATTTAATAGTTATTATATAGTCCTGAAAGTTTCAACAAAAACGAATATGTTTTTCTCGAATTATTCAACTTTTTAAAAAAAGTTGTTTACCATAGAAGGACACAATAATCCAGTTTAGTTGGAAATTGAATATCTTGATAAAGACATGTTCGTTTTTGTTGAAACTTTCAGGATTATAGAATGACTATTAAATCTAGAATTTTAGCTCGAAAGTTTTCATTTTGATTTTTTCCGTAATGTCTGGCTCACAGTAAAACGGCCATAACTCCTCACTACTAAACTATGGGCACGAATCTTTTTAGGCTATTTCTTATCTCAATATACTCTATCGAATGACTGTACGAATGAATCAAAGCAGAGCGAATCACTTGAGAATGTTTCCTCGTAAGACATATTTATGAGTGTAAAAATCTTTCGAAAATTTTGATTAGAATAATTAAATCAAAAAACATCTGAGATTTATGTAGATTTTCATACACATCGAAAATCTTAGATATTATTTAATTTTTGTTTTTTAAATAAATAATTTACTTGATTATTAAGTGTCAATGATTTTGCATTAAAAAGATGATTTCTAATATGTTCAAATTGTCGAATAGATAATTTTGAACAATTAATATGATATGTAAATGGTTGTAAAACTTGATTAAATCTTTGATTAAGATTTAAAAAAGCATAAAAAATATCCGATTGTGATAAATATTTAAATATTTCAAATAGAATTTCATTTGGTAGACTTGTTTCAAATTTTGTAATTAATTTTAATTTATCACATATATAATCATTTGTTGTTATTGATTTAAATTCTAAAATATAGAAAAATGTTTTTTGGATAAATTTTTTTCTTTTTTAAAATAAATATTTACCTGTTCGATTATTAAGAAAAATAATTGAACAATTTTGATTTTCACTACCTGATGTTGCTGATAGAGCACGTCGTTTAATACCTGTTGAATTACTACTATTAATTTCATCAAATGGACGTTTATTATAATTTGTCATTAATGTTGTTATAATACCACTATTTGTTTTTGTACGATCACGTCGTTTTAATTTTCTTGATAATTTTGATAGATCAGACATTAGTTATTTAATAAATCGATTGGAAGAAAATTTTAATTTTTGTTTTTTTCTTTTGAAATCTTTCTTGATTAATTTCACGTGATATAAACTTCGACTAGATGAAATAACATTGTTTTGGTTATTTAAGGACACCAATAAAATTATCTTATTGATAGATGGCGTTTGTGAAAATGTCAAAAGAACTATTTTATATAGTTAACTATCGAAAGATTTTATAAATAGTTTTTCTTCAAGATAAAATGTAATTATAATTATATTAATCGGAAATAGAAAATATTAATAACGGATGTTTTAATTGTCTGTCGTTTTTTGACATATCTGATTTATTAGAATTAAAACTTGACAAGAAAAACCAACAAAAAAAAAACACTTGGATTTATTTTTGAATACTTTAATTAAAATTTTTCACCTCTATGATTATAATTAAATAAATAAATTTAATAAATTATTCTGCTTTATTTTATTTTATGAACGACATTTATTAATTATTTACGAATTTTCGTTGTTTAAAACATTAATAAATATATGCACAAGTCTAACAAAATGTGAAGTAGAAAAATGATAAGTCTACAGGATATCGAACGTACATGTGAACAAGTTTTTTTTAATTCAAGAGTATAATTATAATTATTACTTGAATATAGTGGAACAAATTGTGTCTATATCAGCATGCACTAATAAGTAACAATTACAGATTTTTGTTTGTTTCTTTTTTTTTTAACTAAGAAACTCAATTCATGGTGTATAAATTGATTAAAAAGTTTGTTTGACCTTTTCATTTATTCTACAAATAATGTTCTCATGGTATCATATTTACTTTTTTTTGCATAAAATCATTTTTAATTTATTTTTCTAATTTACTTAATATTTATTAATAATCTATTTTATTATATCATGACCTGAAAATTTATTATAAATCCATTAAGATTTGTCTTCTATGTTCGGTATAAAATACAAACTATTAATATAAAAAGCTTTTAATTTTTAATCATATATATTTGGTTTCAGAAAATACTTTTAACAATATGATATTGTCATATTGAGAAAAATCTATGTAGAAGAGTATGTATTAGAACATTTTATTGTATTAATTGATATGTTGTTAGTGTAAGAAAATTACTTAATGTTATCTGTTTGAATTAAATATAAAATTTTCTTTTTTTTTTTAGTACTTAACTTGTGTTTTAATAATTACAGATAGTATCGATTAATTTATTTTAAAGTAATATCATATTATTGTTTTATATGAAATTTTGATTTTCAAAATGTTCTTAAAAAGAATAGATTTTCAATAAAAAAAACATTCATTAATAGTAAAAATTGAATTAAAACTAAAGAAGAAACATTAATCTTCTTAACGAATCATAATGAAAAATGAATAGAATAAATTCTCATTTTTATATTAGAAACAGCAACAACAACAAAGTTTCTTTCTTATTTTTATATTCATGATCTTTTTCTAGATTATAATCAGGTTTATATTCATTAAACTCTCAAGATTTTTTTATCGTCAAATTTTGTTCTTTTTTTTTTTGCACATGTGAAAGTATCATCAATATGATTTTTATATAATCATGACTTTAAATTTTATTCTTGTATAACTATAATTAATAGAACTACTTAATTATGATGAAATTTTTATTAATAAATTTAAATGGTCAGTTATTAAATTACTTAGGTCTTTTAAATATATGTAAAGGTCAATAACTCAAAAAAAAGAATAAAGTAAAAAACTATCTAAATGTGTGTTAGTATGATTCACTTTTTTATTCTGTCTTTGTTCTATGTCGTTCATATGATACGTACAATTTATAGATATTCATCTCTATGCATTATTCGCTCTTATCCTTTCTTTGACAATCAGCTGAGTGTGAACAAGTAAAACATATGGAAGTAATAGAAATTCCTCAATATGACAGCGAGACATCTGATGGAGAAATTGTAGAAGAAAATCAAAATGTAACTGTCCAGCGTTCTTTAAGAATTATATATGCAAACATATTGTTGGTATGACGATTCGTTTAAAATATTGCAAACCACTACCAGCAGCAAAAGTAGTACCATTAGGGAGAAAAAAGAAAAAGAGGTTGACTAGCAAAAGCTAAATCTGCTTTATTAGTACAATAGTTTGATTGTCATTCTCTACAATTCTACTTAATGTCCTCTTGAATTTTCTTATTTACTCTGTGTTTCTTTACTTACTTTTTTTCTCTCGTATGTCAAATTAATCTTTATGAAAATAATACTTAATTTTTCTACTGATAATATCTCAATTTTTTACTGATCAAATTTTAACTTTTTACTAATCGAATTTTACTTATTTATTTGTGAAATTTTAATTTTTTACTGATATTTTAACATAAAAGACTGAACATTTTTGAATTGATTACTGATCATTTGGCTATTTTTTTACTGCCCAGAAATTATGTTCCCATAGATTTGTAATTATTAAAAATTTTAGTTTTATAGAATTAATCATAATTTAAATAAATTCTACTATTTGTCTTTTTCGTTTTCTCTGTTTTTTAGATTGATTTATCATTAATCATTGTTTCCGATCATACTAATAGATTTTTCTTTCTATCTAATCAATTTTTATTCCAACAATGTTTATTTTAAGTAATCTATACATCAAATACTATTTCTTCTTTGACCCATATATATATATATTGATGACAAAACACTTCCAAACATGAAACTACTCGTTTTTTTTTTTGCATATTCGAATAGATTAAACATGCATATGATGTTCATGTCATATACTATGGATTAATAGAGAATAAATGTGCGCAATATGACACAACCAAAAAAAAAAGGAGAATAAATAACGGACATCAGTCAAAAAAAAAAAAGAAAAGAAAACCAAGAAGGAAATTCAATCAATACAAAAAAAATCAATCCAATGTGCTATTAGTAATGTTTGCTTCTGTGAGTTCCAAGTGCTGTTCTACTAGTTCTATTTAGTAAGCGAGTAAAAAGGAAACACAAAAAAAAATGAGTATAACGGATGTGTGGTTGTCTTGATTGTTAAGAATAATTGAGTTTGTATATCGAACTTATTGTCTTTGATTGTTTGATTAACTTGCATTGCGCATTTGGTAAAAATTATTCCAACCAAATTATTATTATTAATGTAAAAAATGTGCATGTATGCATGTTGATTGGTTAAGATTACTTATTTGTATTATTACTAAACGTTCTTTACAATATATATATATATATATACATTTATTTTTAATTATGTTAACTGTTATTTAAATCTTCATCTTTCTTTTTTTAATTTTTTTTACGGTTCTTCTTTATCTTACTTCATCAATAGAGAAAATCATTGTTATAAGTCATACAAGCAAAAAATAAAACGTATCTAGCAGAAAAATAAATTCTGTTGAGTTTTGTTAAGAATTTATCAAGTGAATAAAACAATATCCTTTTCATTCATTATGATAAAAGTCTTTAGAAGAAAAGAAAGTAAGTGTATTATAATTCATTGTTTCAATTCATTGACCTTATTTACATGCATATTAAGGTCTTAGTTTAGAGACATAAAAAAAAAAAAAACAAAAAGAGACAAACTGTCTATCAATTATTTTTTTAATATTTCTACGCAAAACAAAGAAATAGAATAAAAGAAAAAAATATATATATTCATTAGATATTTTCTTGTAAGATATTAAATATTGATTAAGAGTATAGTACTTCTATACTATTTTGACTATGAAAAGCAAAACTTTTGTTGATTTAATTCATGTATATGCATAGCATAGAGTTCATTAAAGTACAATATATTTGCATATATATACATAGATAAACCCTGGGTGATAAAAAGAAAAAGTTCACTTGCCAGGGTTAGCAGACAATTAGAATATACTATAAAAGATCAATTTGAATGATATGTGAATCACTATAAGTCTATGTTCGATTTGAAAAACTTTGTCAATTTCATTTGAAAAGAAAAAAGTGTTTTAGTTTTCTTTTTTTTGTATAAGATGGACATCAAAACAATACCAATTTATTAACGAGCTAGGTAATTTGAAAATGAGTCAAGAGAGTAGAAAGGAAAATCTAGAAGCGGTTTTCTTTTTCTATCATATAATCAACTTCTTGATTGGCTAGAACATAGAATCATAGAACGAGGAAAAAAAACTGGATCTAGATACTTTTTTCATGTTCTTGAGTTATTTCTAAATTATTTACCTTTCTTCTATTTTGTTATGAGTACTAGATAGGATTTAGAAATAATGTATATAATTAACGGATGTTTCGACGTTATGATTTTATCAACGCTTTGTTTAACAGGACAATGATCGTAATCAATTTTGACATCATGAAAAGTTTTTCCTTTTCTCTCTTGTCTCATATAATCGACTTTTATTATATCATAAATTCTTCGTCTCGTAAGATTTTCAATATTGTCCAAATACATTAGAAGAAATTTTATCTAATTTTCAGATTAATTCATATCATGAAATCTAATTTTTCACCTATTTTCTCTTTGCTAAAACGTATCTTATATAGTAAATGTGAGTAAAGTCTTTCCCTTAGGAAAAACTCTATACACTCTATATATATATTACTATTTTTCTTTGGAGAATCTCAGTGAGTAATAATAATACTAGTTTGTTTTTAATACACTAGTGATTGTATAGCCAGAAGTATAGATAATATATATATATATATTATTGTTATTAACATAATATTTATTTAAGAATTGATCTATATTTTGTGATATTATCAAAATTTTCTTTTATGTTTTGATGTAATATGTCTTATATGTTCAAAGATTAGATGTTTCACATGTCTTTTTCTTAGAAAAGAAGACATCGTCTCTCGTTCGTTGTCTTGTTTGAAATATCAATCTTGTCTATCTATCTCGTATTTCTATTCTTGAAAAAAAAAAAAAGAAAATCATGTCATCATCTGGCTTTCTCGGTTTTTTTCTTCTTCTTTTTCTTCTTTTCTAGTTAGTTCTGTTTAAATTAAGTGCGTAGGAAATTTTTTTTTTGTTTTAGTTGAGAGAATTTTCTTTTTTCAATAAGACATTTTTTTTTGTCATATTGTGTTATTTATTGAACAAGAGTGTCCATTTTATATGTTAATACTAAAATATATTGTTGTCCTTTTTCTTTCATAGCATTGTTCATTAACATAGAATGACATTGGAAACCTTCATTAAAAAAAACAGAGCGGATTTAAACATCAGTAAACAGATATACTACGTATTCTCGTGACTATAAGTCATTTGAAAACGATTTTTTTAACTAGAGATTTTTTTTTCTTGTTTCATTACGTTCGTTTTTTTTTTCATTATTTTTGACCTAAAAATAAAGATTTGATAGTTCCATATGAATAGAAATTTAAAACAAAAGAAAAAAAAAAAGCAGAGCGAGAAATCTTTGTCTAGTTAGAAAATAATAATAGTCATTTTCCTTTTTTTTTTAACTATTTTTATTATTATTATTATGTATCTTTTTATTTTTCCATAATTATTAAAAGTTATTTTTAAATTTTCAAAAAAAGTCATTTATACATCAAATATTTAATATTCTATATAATAAATGAAGTTCTCTTGTCTTTATTTATTTCAGATCATTGTCAACATTTTACTTAAAGAACTGTCGTTCAAAATTCTAAGCATCATTAAAATAATTATTTTCAACAAGTTGATATAAATTATTTCAAATGATGATAATGATGATGACAAAGCACTGAGGTCATTCATATTTATTATAAATGTCGATAATATCTTCATTTTTTTTATTTATTATATAAAATATAATTTACATGAATTCAAATAATTCAGATTTAAATACAATACCTATTTATAAATTATATTTTGATGATATTGAAGAAATATTTTTTAATACAGTATCATTTAAATATCTATTTATTTCAACAATAATAATATGTTTCTTTATATTAGCTAGTATTATTATATTATTATATAGATCAAAAACAATATTTCTTGCATGTCTTATACCATTTATATATTCTTTATTATTTTATGATTTTATTCAATTATTATCAATTATTTTACTTAAGTATAATTTAATAAATTTAAATGAAAATTATTTTGGTGAAATATGTCGTTGGCCTTATTATTTAAAAGCATCATCCGAAGCAGGACAATGTATAACATTAATATTTATATATGCAATACGATGTCAAAAAGTTCGACATTTTTTAAAACATAATTATTTACCAAATACTGGTAATATTCATTCACGTGCATTAACATTTGTTTGTTTATTATTTGTTATTTATGTTAATAATTGGATAACACATTTAAAAATAGAAAAAATTCATTTAGTTACATTAAATGAATCAAATCATGAAATAAATATTGAAGAATATCCAATAACATTTTATGGAAAAAATCATATTAAATTAAATGATTATCAACAATTTTATACTGATTTAAATAAATATGCACAAAATTATGAAAAAATTCAAATAGGACAAAATAATCCCGGAGAAATAATACATAATGAAAAAGATGATACAATGCATGTTTTTATTAAAATTCCATATGATAATATATTTGGTCAACATAATTCAATTATATTTAATCGTACAAAACGTAAAAAAAAAAATTTTCGTCGTCATATTAAAAATAAAACATTTTATGGTAATAATTCATATCGTATACATCGTTGTACATTTGGACAACGAAATTTTTTTTTAGCAAATTTTTTATCATTAATACATTCAATATTTTATTTAATATTAATTATTTATTATTTAACAACAATATATCGTTATAAAATTCCATATATTAAAACAGATTATTATCAAAAATTACTTAATGAAATACATAATAATGGACGAAAAAAAACAATTGAACGTTATAAACAAATAATATTATTAACACATTTAAGACAATTTCAATATTTAATTGTTTATTGTTATACAATAATAACATTAATACGTCTTATTTATATATGTTCATTTACATTAATATTATGTTTAATACAATCACCATTTAAATGGTTAACAATAAAAATATTTTATTATATACTTTTTATTATTGTATATTATTCAATACCATTACGTATGATATTATTATTTATTTATTTATTTTTAAGTTTATTTTCATCACATATTAATTCAATATTTTATTATATATTTCATACAAAATTACATTTTTCATGTCAATTACGTAAACCAACTGTACGTTTTCATTTACATATTGTACAATATCATCAAGAAAATATACAAAATAAAAAAAATTCAAAAGATTCATTAGTTCTTGATTTAACATCATCTGTTATTGATGAACAATCACCAATGTATTTAAATGAAACAATTGGTATTTATGAAGAAAATAGTATTAGTCAACCTCGAGTAAGAACAAGTAGTTTTGGAATTATACATGAATCTGAACTTAGTAACCTGTGATTAATATTTGTTCTTCGTAATTCTGTTTGTTTTGAAAAAAATAAAATAAAATTAATAAAAATTAAAAAAAACGTCATTTTTGAAGATTTGTTTTCGTCTAATGAGAAAAAAAAAACTATTCTGAATACTTATAAACTATAACATAATTCTCTTTGTTTTTTTTTTCTTTCAATTCAATTTACATAACTTTTTCATAAATATTTAATTTAAATCACGTGTTTTTTACTATTAGTTGAACTCAATAGAAATGAAATGAAATATTCCATTCATAAAATAATTGTTTACAAATAGATGTTTGTTGACATATGTCATTTTTTGTCTACATTTCATAGAAAATAATATATAAGATATTATTTGCAATGCAAAATTTAGTATCTAATAGTAAAATATAAATGAATTTTCTTTCACATTATAATTTTCTTTTTTTCTATTGTACTTTTCAACATCATCTTAATTATATACAGTTTATGCTTATCTTTAAAATCTAATCTGTTTCTGTTAATTGTAGATTATCTATACGTTTTCTACCTTCTCATTATTTACAATGATTACATTTCTACAATCGCATTTTTGTTTGGTTCACCTCAATGAAAACTGAAAATTAATATTCTTTATGTCAATCAGTTTAAATAATTCTCTCTTTTTATCTTTTTGAACTCAATATGTCATAGAAGTATATTTTGTCGCACAAAATAAGAATTAATATATATATATTTCAACAATATGTAATTTTGTTGCTAGATTGAATTAACATTCTTGTTAGAAAAATTAAAGACGACGCCAAGAATTTCCGGATAACGAATACAATACCAACGATCTGTCAATAATTAGGGTCAAACATAAAAGAAAGAAAAAATGTTTTCTACTTGAAAAAAAAATGTCAAGTCACATTCGAATTTTTGAAATATAATATTCATTGATTTAATATTAACGATAGAAATTTTCTTGTAAACTATATTCTTGATATAGAAAGAAATTCAATATTGATATATCGCCTGACCTTTTTTTTTTTTGAAATGCGCTTTTGAATAATATTTATTAATAAATCATTGCATGATCTATTGACGGCATTACTTTGTTTATGTTATGACTTTTGGATTCATTTGTTGTTTTGCAAACTTTTTATAGTAGTTCAGTAGTGTTCAAATAAAAACTATAACTAGACGATTGATATAATTCAATATTCTATGCTTAATAATGACATATGAACAATAAAATATAGAATAACTTATTAAGAGATATTATTTAAACATGTCCTATATAAAGAGTACTGATGATCTATTAAAATTTTACTTTCTATTTTTAAGTATTTACTCTTAAATTTATTCTAATTACAAGCTTTATATTATCTATTAAAAAGTATGATTTGTTAATATATAGTTGTGAACAATTATATATGAAAAAGGCTAACACTGGTACATGACTTCTATCATTAGGATATTAAAGATGATCTTAAAATAATTAAAATTCATCGTAAATGTTTCTTTTTTTTCTTTGTAATTATATATTCTATAATGAATGCATTCATCTACCTAATGAAAACTCTAATCTTCTTTATTCAACTAAAGTTTTTTTTTTTAAATAAAAATATGATTTTTTTTATAAACCAAAAGAATTTCAAAATAGTTTAATAATATTAAATGTTAATATGTTTTAAGCAATATATATGTTTAAGATAACAAAATTAATAGAAAAATATATTTTAAATAGTTTTTATGAGGATTTTTTTTTGCTTAACAAGTTAAGTAAACTTCTTTAATAATAATAAACATTAAGTCGTATTCTAATTAATATTCATGTTAGAATGTAAAAAAATTTATTTAAAATAAAACTTATTCAATCAACAAAAATCTATGAATATAATTATTTTTATATGACTTAAATTGTAATTTAATATTGTATTAGAATCTATTTTATTAGAAGAAATTTTCGTATTTGATATAAGCTTTAAAAAAAAAAAGAAAATTTTGTTTCTTTTTTTATAACTGAATAGATAATTACATTTGTAAATATCAAGCAAAAATAATCTTTCAAATAGAAAATTTAATTCATTTTTAATAAATTAAATAATTACATATCAAATGAACGAGATCGATACTAAAACATCGAAGTATTACTATTGATCGTTAATATGTATATCTAAAAGCTTGCTATTTTTATCATCCATTAACTGAACCATTTCTCATAGTTAATGAAGCGATATAAAACTAACGACGTAATTGTAAATTTACGATATTATTTTTTTGTTTTTTTGTTTTATTTCTTTTCTATGAATTATTTGAAATGTCAACTCTAGATAATTTTATTTTCTATTTACAACAAAAATCTTATCATTGATATTTATAAACACATTCATATCAAAAATATAAAATCTATATCAATTAAATTTCAAGCTGGAATTTATTTTCAAAGTGTATATATTAACATAAAACATACAAAACAAAATAAAAAATAACAATGATCAATCACTCTCAAACAAAAAAAAAATTAGGCATACACACACACATGAAAAAAACAATGTCTAGACATAAATAAGTAAAATTTCTTATTTAATGAGTTTCATTGATGGTCATTGAAAAAAAAAAGATAAATAGATGTCATTCAAATGGAACATAAATATGTGTGAGATACAATTTAAAAAAAAATATTATATAAAAAAAAATGTTCAAGAATATTATTGAAAAATCTTTTAATTATGTTTTATAAAAATTTTATTTAACAGTTGTTGTAACTTTTTTTTGTTTTTTCATAACATTAACTTGTGATGTTGGAATAACAACAGCTTTTTGTTGTTGAGAATTTTTATCTAAAATAAAAATTAATGTATTTTTTGTTTTTAAACTTCATCAATTTACTCTTTTTTAATGCTTGAAGACGTCGAGGATTTTTAACACAACCATCAATACTCATTAAATGTTCACGCCATGGTTTTTCACCTTCACGTATATTCATATGACATAATGGACAACGATTTGTATTTGGTTTAGCTTCACTACATTCTTTAAGTTTAATATGAGCATCAAAATCTGTTCCAATTGCTTCTGTACATCGAGAACATTGTTGATATTTAGTTTTTTTTGCACATTCACGTAATAAATGTTCTATATAAATTCCTATTTCGACTACCTATTAGGAAAAAAAAAACGAATATGTATTAAAATAGATATATAAAACAAACTTGATTGCATTCTTGACATCGTCGTAACATTGGACAATTTGCCCAATAATGTGTTTCAAGACCATCACGAATAAAATCATCATTTTTTTCTCCACAAAATATACATGTACTAAAAAATATATATGAAAATAGTGAAAAAGAAATGAATTTCTATATATGAAGTCGTAGTCGACAAAATTTTTGTTTTCACTTTTCAAGAATACTACTTTTTATATTAACAACAAAGTATTTGCTTCGGGCATGTTCTCTAATCTTGATAATCATGGTACTTAAGCTCGTCGGGTTCAAATTTTTTCAAGCAAATCTAGACTTATAATACTCTCAAATAAGATTTTTTAATGCCTTTTGATAGATACTCAGAAGACATGAAATAATTTTTCTGCTTATATTTATATTCAACAATAACACGCCATATATATATATATATCTCACTGAGGATATTTTGATAGTAATCGTATAAGAACGAGATTATAATTGACTGTTACCATTAGAGAAGCAACTGTCGAGTCGAACTCGAACTTTAAGGATTCTACTTAAAACACTCGTGATTTTTTTCCTATGTACAAAAAAAAAGCGAATTAATCTAATTCCAAACATCTGAAACTAAAATTTGTCATGATAAAATTCAGAAAAGTCTTGGGTTCACAATTCCAAAAAAAAAGCAGTCATTTGTTACAGTTTCGCGTCATCTAAACGATTTTATTTCAGGGGCGGCGCGACCGGGGGGGGGATAGGGGGGTCACCCCCCTCCTGCTTCAGAAAATTTTGGCTGGTACTTTCTCCGATTTTGGGGAATTTACTACGATAATTTCTCCGATTTTGGAGAATTTACAAAGCAATTTTCTCCGATTTTGGAGAAATATACTTGATAGTTTTCTCTCAATTCGGAGAAAATTCAAGTTTAATGGGCATTTTCAGGCAATTTTCTCCGATTCTCGAGAAATATATTACACAAATTTCTCCAAAAATCGGAGAAAATTCAAGTTTGGAGATCATTTTTAGGCGATTTTCTCCGATTTTCGAGAAATATATCACACAAATTTCTCCAACATCGGAGAAAAAGTTTTAATAGTTTCCTCCAAACTTGGATTTTCTCCGATTTTGGAGAAACGTGTATAATATATTTCTCCCAAATTGGAGAAAATCGCCCAAAAATGTTCTCCAAACTTGAATTTTCTGCGAATTTATACAATAGTGTTGAATATATTTCTATGAATCCGGAAAAATCCAATTTTGGACAAAAATGAGTAGACGATTTTCTCCGATTTTGGAGAAGTATATTATAAAATTCTGACTCGAAGAAGACTTCAGTTTAGAGAACACTTTTTGACTTTCTCCGATTTTAGGACTGCCCCCCCCTGCTCCGACCTCTTCGCGCCGCCCCTGTTTTATTTACTTTATTTTTATGTGTTTTTTGCTTATATGAATATTTTTTTAATACTATTTTTCGCTCTTCAAATTTTAGCTGTTGTTAATAAAAATATGCACATAAAAATTGAAATTGATAAATTTTATTTTTTGTGAAAATTTTACAATATCGATTGATGAACATTTTGAGATTAGCAGCAGCTATTTTAGTATCTGATTTGGTACATATTATCAAATCAAATGAGAATATTTCAATCTGAGATTTTCCTTACAGACAGTACGATTTGCTACTACAATGGAATTTTACACTAAGCATAAACTCCGAATTCAAAAACGATTGATTAATTGCAAACATTTCTTCATACGATGAGTCTAGGAATATACATCTGAGGTACTCCTACACTTCGTCCCAAATTGTGAGTATTCATCTACATTACAACAATATGAAATAAAATTCATTTAAATTAAATTCAAGTGCTTATTTCCAAGTTCATAGTAATGCGAATTCAATATTCCTCAATATTGTTTACATCATAAGGCAGTGCGACTCTTTTCAATCGTGCATGAAGATTTGCATAAATTTTCTTTTTTTGGGTGTTCATCTACACGAAGTTGTTCAATATTGAGACTTGAATCTGGATATATTTTGCAAGTTTAGTTATAGAAAGATGTTTAATTGATACACAATTGTTGAATGTATGGTGTTATCTCTCGACAGCGTTATTAGATCTTGACAAGTCTTGTAGAACTCTCTCGTAAATGTTTTATAATTATAAAACTAAATTTTAGTTTATGACGTCGGCTATTTAAAGTAGTGTTATATGCTATTAAATACGTCAAACACATAAGTCTAAAATGACACAGACTTCTTCTTTTCTCTTTTGATCAACCTACACTCGTTCAAAATAATCAAGTAGAGGATAATCTTCATCATCAAAATCATTTTTGATAAATGAATAAGTCTAAAGAACACGATAAAATTTAGACGAAATCTATTTTTAAATAACAATAACTGTAGAAATTGATCTTGGTGTAGAATTATAAGATGAAATATAAATGGGACGGATAGTAAAGGAACGAAATGTAAGTAGCACGAATTGTATGGGACGAAATATCATGTACCGAAGTGAGCGACCACTATATCTAACTTTTTTCTTTACCGTCTTCCAGATATTCATACTACCGATCATAGAATGACTATCAACATATTGTGATAAAGTGGTAGTCACAAGATATCCGATTATTTGAGTTACTGGCGAATGCTACTGATATAATGCATATTATACCGAAGAGTCTACCGATAGTTTTTATTCGATTTGAATCTCATAGGAATTAATTTCATATTGAATAACATTTTTCTTGAAATACAAAAACTTTTCATTTTTAACAGCAGCGAAATTTTTTTTTTTTTTTTTTTTTTTTTTTGGGAATGACATGTAATAAAATAAAATCTTACTTTTCTGGAGTAAAATCTGATTCATCAGCCATACTCATTGTTGGTGTTTTTCGATCAAATCGAGTTGGTGTACGAGATTTATGTGTTGAAGATTTTGCATCAAACTAAAATAAAAAATAAAATTTTATAAAAAAAAATATATTAAAATATTTTTCTTTACAGATTTTCGTTGTTCACGAGATACATGTTGTTGTTTTGGTATATCACGTTTTAATGTATCAGCTGGTTCACTTGTTCTTTTTACACGATCTAATGAAAGATTATTTGTTGCCTTAAAAAAAAAACAAAACGAATTTTTTTTTTTTCATATGTAAAACTTATTTCTCATATTATTAAAATACTTTATCAGTTTGACTATCTATTCGATCGAATGCTTCAAACATATCACGATATTTTTTAATTCGACGTGTTTGATCATTATCTTGTGGAAGATAACGTTTAACAATTGATCCATGAGTCTATATTCATAAAAATATAATACAAAATAAATTATTTCAATTATTTTCATACCTTATATAAACTGAGTAAAATTTTGATAGTCAATTCTCGTACTTCACCAGCTAAGAAGATAAACAAATATTATATAGAATAAGAAAGATAAAATACTATACGATTGATTTATGTCAAAGATTAACATAGAAAGTTCAATGAAACTAACGTAAGAGTACAGCTGACTTTAACATTAGAAATGTTAATATTTATTCATTTTACAGATTAATTCACGAATCGCAAATATATATAGGATATTCCATTGAAAAAGAAATATGGAAATAACAAAATGATATTCGTTAACTTCGTTTAATAGTATTAAAAATGTTTTTTAAAGTTCTGTTTCATATAATTTCATTTGTGCCTACGATTTAAAAAACATCCTATGAAACTCAAAGACACAAGTTCATAGTTTTCAAATATTTGTAAAAACAAAAAAAAGACAATATATTGAATTTTCTTCGAGATCATTTTATATTCATTACTGATTTAGATATCATCTTTCATAAGTCTTCGTACAAAAAAATTCGAATAATGCTAACTCGTCGAATAGAATCACTGCTTTGAATCCTTCACAATCATAGGAAAAATTTACTTAAGAAAAAAAAACAATTTGTTTTACTATAGAAATTCGACTAAATGTCTTTAATACTAACACACTTTCCAAAATGTACTTCAACAATTGTTTCTTGATGTTATTAGAAAAATTTCTTAAGTTTTATTTACCATTATGTTCAATTGCTTGTGCACAAAATTTACTAATATTATCAACATTTAAACCATTTTCACCTTTTTTAACATCTAAAACTTTCATTAATTCTTCAATAAGTTCACATCGACTTATAGCTAATCTTGGTGCACATGTTTTATTAAATGGATAAACACAATAATGTGGTATAATATGTAATGGTTTTAATTCTGGATAAGAAGCTGATTCAATAATAGCTTCTTGTGCTCGTTGTCTTAAACGAGCATTTGAATCACCTGTACGTTGTAATAGAACAGGTAAAACACGTTCTAAACTTGTAATAATATCTTGTCGTTGTATAGAATTTCGTCGAATATAATCATTCATTAATAAATGAAAAAGTTTAAGTGAATGTAAAAATGTTACAAGTACATCAACACGAAACATTCGTGCTAAAACAAAACTTCCAGCACGTAAATATGCTCGAGCATCTTCTTGATCACCAGAAAATTTACTTAATATTTGATAAATTTCATCTAAAGCTTCTTCACGTTGTGCATGATTTCGATGATAAAGTTTACCAATCTTATAAAAAAAGAAAAAAACGAATTTTAAGAAAATATTTTTATAATAATAGAAAAGTAATGATGAAAGTATTTTATTTCCGTAATAGAAAATTGAAGACAAATCTTTTCTTTACAATGTAAATTTCACTGAATTTGGTATCTTCAAAATTGGGTATGATTCAAATCTATATATGTTATATTTGACAAGCTCTAATTTAGATGTAAATGTAAGACAAGTATATATCAACACAGAGATGGACAAAGTCGCACCGCGCCGTTGCTCACGCCTACGCTACACTAATCTGAGCTTCGATGAGCGCATGCTTAGAGCATCCCGGTATTCGGTGGAGTTTGAGAAACTGATTGGCAGAGCAAAGAGAAAGAGAGATGTGCGTAGCGCCTAGGCGCGAGCAGTGGCGCGGGGAAGCGCGGTGCGATTTTGTCCATCTCTGTATCAACATACACAAAGAAAAGAATAAATGAAGAAAACATTATTAAAAAATAATATGATTTAATGTTATTTATGACATATCATAACAAATATTTCTTAATTGAAATTTTCTTAAGTTTTTTTTTTATATGGAAATAAAATATTTTCAATTTCTACTATTTTCAATTGCTCTAGATAAATATTTTGAAAATATATTTACCAAATTTTTATCGAATACAATCATCATTTGATTTGCTTCAATCATTTCAGCTTGATTTAATTCAGCTGTTGCATCATCTTTTGTTGATATATTTGCTATACTTCCTGATATACTTTCTGTTTCATCATTATTATTTTTATTTATATCAGTATTTACTGTTAATGGTCCTTGTAATTGTCCAATATCTACACGATTACGATTACGTAATGTAGGAATAATTTTATCTTCATATGGAGTTGGTGGTTTTTGATATTCTGGTGAACTTGAACTAGTACCATTGACTCGAATATTTGTTTGTTGTGTTGTATTTGTAATAGATTGTATTGGTGATGTTGAAACTTCATGTGAAGCTGATTGTATACCATAAGAAACATTTGATTCTGATGAACGACGATTTCGAATTGGATTTCGTGTACGAACTAAATAAATTTATAAATACAAAAAAAACAAATTCAATTAAAAATTTACCATGATTTTGTTGTTTTGATGGACGCGATGGCTAAAATAAAGATTAGAAATTAATAAAATAAAATAAAACAAAAAAAAAAAAACAAAACGTATTATTATTTTTCAAAGTGAATGTAACAAAAAAACATCATGCAAACAAGTGCTATTGATTAAAGATAAAGAAAACTCTTGTAATAATATTTTACAATGTGAAATAATAAATCAATACAAATTATGCAAAATTATCAAATTACCATATTAACTATTTCTATCTCTTGTTCATGATCATCATGTTGTTGTTCATTATATTTACTTTCCTGTAATTTTTTTAAAAATTCGGTACCTTCACCACCCTCCTATGGAGATATATATATATATATGTTTTTTTTTATTATTTATAATATGAGATTATAAGATTAAAAAGAAAGAGAAATGAAATCTTTTTAAAATTTTTGTTTTACTTACAATAACAATATCAAGTAAATTAAGTTTTTGAAGTTGTTTATATGTTTCAGCACGATAAAGTTCAATTTTTTCTTTTTTTACTTTTGCTACTTCATAATCTTCATTCTAAAATTGAATAATAGATATTTTTATGAAGGAATTCATCATATTTAAATTTATAATTTGAGTATTTAGAGAGAAATGATTAATTTGTTAAGATTTCATCATGCGATAACAAATCCAGTAACACTAGTAATTCTTTAGAGAATGGTCTATTCATTTGAATTTCTGTAGAATTAACTTCGATGAAAGATTCTTTCGATTTATTCAAAATATAAATTTAAAAGTGGTGAATTTCAGTTTTAGATCTGTCGTAATGGATAGAAAACCTTTTCGAATGTTTGAAATGATAATATTTTAGTCAGTCTAGGATATTACGAATATCTTTATGTCAATTACTTCCTTGTTCACAAACTAGGACCCTTTACTTATATATTTCTCCGATAATAAAGCTCGAAAATAAAAGAAAGTTCTGATTCGAATGCAAGAAATTGTTTTCTGACTTTTTCTCACGAAATATTTACAAATCTCAAATAGTGGCGTAACCAGGATTTTTCAATATCCTGGATCTCCATCAGAGAGCATGGGTCCCAAATGAAAAATTCTGTACATTGATATTGGACTCAAATGATGAGTTTCTATCGAAAAAAATTTTGAATCAGAGTTTGCAAAAAAAATTAGCATTTTCCTGAGCCCTACCAGAAAATGTTTCACATCTTTAATGATATGTCGTTTTCAAGAATGCCATCGAAAAACTACATCAAATTTCATCGACAGATTTCAAATTTCATTTAAAAAAATTGATCCGTTCAGAAGTTGTGCAGTTTTCAATTCCTGGTGAAATTTTTTCGAAACGTCTCGAATCTTAAAAACATCATAACTTCTGAACGGATCAATTTTTTTAAATGAAATTTGAAATCTGTCGATGAAATTTGATGTAGTTTTCGATGGCATTCTTGAAAACAACATATCATTAAAGATGTGAAACATTTTCTGGTAGGGCTCAGGAAAATGCTAATTTTTTTTGCAAACTCTGATTCAAAATTTTTTTCGATAGAAACTCATCATTTGAGTTCAATATCAATGTACATAAGTTTTCATTTAGGACCCATGCTCTCTAACAGAGATCCAGGATACTGGAAAATCCTGGTTAAGTATCTAAAAATTATATTATTCTGCTATTGTTCAACAGCATGCATGTAATAATAAAAGACTACATCAATAATATCAAATCCATTTGTAAGGACGATGTGCCGAACGTTTTAGAAAATCCCTACTGCCTCAATTAATTTATTTTCAGGAAAAAACGAAACTGTAATTAGTTTATTTTACATCAAAAATATGACAAGTTTTCATAGTTTTGCAACTGAAAATCTTAAAAAACTCAGAGATCTTTTATTCCGGACGTTACATTAAAGTCTTTCCATGTTGTACAACTGACAGTATTTGTTCAAGTATAAATCATCTAGATTTATATTAAATTCATTATTTGAAATAAAAAACGAATTAGATTTTGTCCCCCCTTATGATATGCTATATCAATGAAATCATCTTGCATTAACAATCGAAGAAAATCTTTTATTTTCTTTTTTAAACATACTTCAATAGCTTGTCGTTTTTCAACTTCATATCGAGCAAGTCGTTCACCAATCTAAATAAAAACAAAAATCGAAAATATTTTTGAATATTCAATGAATTTTTCTATTACATTAAGAAGTTCTTGTATTGCTTGTTTAAATTTTCCAGCTTGATCAAAATTTTCATCTAAAATATTTATAATAATTAATTAAAATTATACGAAATAATTATTTTATTTTACCATGTACATATTGTTGTTTTTTTCGATCTAAATTTTTAATAATCACAGCTATTTCAGGATCTTGATACATTGCAAATGCTAGATCATCAACAATTGATATTTGATCCGATCTTATAAAAATCATATTCAATTATTACAAAAAAAAACAAAACATTGTTAATATGTTCATTTACTTATTTGAATTCGAATCGAATGGTTCATCATGATTTTCATGCGTCTAAAAATTATATACATACATGAATTCAATAGATATCACTTCTTCAGGTTTCCCATTAACTGACTTTTTCAAAATCCTTCTGTTCATAGCTAATCGGAAGAATATGTAAAATTAAATGATTATAGAGAGTTCTACAAGCAGTGTTTTATCTAGATTTTCTCTTCTGTAGAAACGAATACCTATTTTGAGAATACAAACATATAGTACATGGTACAATAATCACAAATTCCAAGAGGACTAATTCGGTATTACCTCTTGATATGTACTGTATCTTATTGTAAAATGTTGACCTAGATCTTGTTTCTTTATATAGTTCTTGATGGAATCATTAATGATTCGAAACACTCAACATTGTAGATATAATTATGACGTCTTTTTCTTTTTTATTGAAACAATTTAAATAATGTCTTTCTAACAGAACGCAAAAAGAAAAATTTGGTTTCGATGGAGAAATTGAAAATTTTTCAAGAATAAAAAGTGTCATGAATGACCTTGAATTAGATTCGATTTTAATAAAATAGATTTTTTTTTTGTTTAACTTATATAAATTAATTTTCTTTAAAAGAAAAAAAATATATTATGATAGAAAATTTTTCTTACCTTATCAATATCATTACCAAGCAAATTAATTGCAATAATGCTTACCTATTATTAGAAAATTGTATAAATTTAATTTATTATAATATGTTCTTCTTACTTGATTATGTAGATTATGTCGATTTGTATAATTTTTATGTATAATTAATTTTAAAAATAAACCATCAGCATCGACATGTATTGATTTAAGTTCACGAGATTTAAATTCTGTTCGTTCATTACTTGATAATTCAATATAACTAAAAAAAATAAAAAGAAATATTTTCAAAAAATATTAAATATTAAATTTTTTACCCTAAACGAGTATAACGTGCATTTTCATGTTTTACGTTTTCATCAGATGAACAATCACCGATGAGAAATTCAATTTTTGATGCTTCAATGAATAAAATAAATAATTTAAGAAAAATTTTGGAAAATAAAAAAAAAAAAAAGGTTAAAATTACCAATTAGATATTGATGAGAAAGTAATTGAACACGTTTTAAACGTACGTAATTTTCAAATTGAAGGACAAGTTCTTGTGGATAGGAACAAAGTCGACTACTTTGCCAACCATTTACAAATGGTCCTTGATGATGTAATTCATTAGCTGGATGTTGTTCATCAAAACTTGATGAATAAACAACTTGAAATTGAATTTTTCTTGTCATTAATTCTTAGTTTTTATTCATAACAATTAAATTGATCGTTTATTGTAACGACATTAATAAATTTCAATAAAATAGTTTTGCTTAGTTCTATCCTCTATAAATTCTAGAAGAATAAATATTATTAAAGAGGTTGTCGAGAAATTTTTTATTCGTTCTTCAATGTTATTGCACAATCAACCAATAATACCATTTTATTAAAAAAGGTGGTTTTTCTTTTTTTTTTTTTTTTCTTCATGTGAAAATATTATTCAGTTCAATAAAACAAAAGAAAATGACGGATAGTTCATCGGCTTCGAATTTTGATAATTATATTATTGAATTACATGAAAATCTTGATCGTCTTCGTGACATGTCAGATGTTGATGAGCAATCATCAATAATTGTTGCTGATCTTGCACAAGCTTATTCTGAACATCCATCACCAATGCAAACAGGTGATGCATATAATACAAAGAAAAAAAAAACGAAACAATAAAAAAAAAATCTAATTAAATGTTTCTTTTTTTTTTTGTTTTCAAATTTTTAAGCTATGTGTTTATCAGCTTTATTTTGTGGTCAAAAGAATATTCTCACATTTCTTCGACGTTCATCGTCAAAAACTGAAGTAATATATATATTTTTTTTTCAATAGCATAAGAAACGAAACAAAAAGAAAATTTAATTTTTTTTAGTTAAAAAAAACTAAAGTTGAAATTCTACAATTTCTAAAATTTTTTGTTGAAAGTGCCGGTGTAAAAATTTTACCACATGCTATTGAACTTAAAACAGTTCTATTAACAATTTTTAATGTCGATAATGCATCTGATGTAAGAGCAACTATATTTCCTGTTTTATCACAAGTAAATATTAAAAATTATTCGTATTCTATATGTAAGAATACTTGATTTAGTTAATGGAATTAAGTGCCGGTTCTTCAGATATGCAAAATGAAGTTGATAAAATGGCTACAATTTTTCTAGATCAAATTGGTCTTCAAAGTTCAAAAGCGACAGCAACAAGTTAATTGATTATTTTTATAATAGAAAGAAATTAAGAGTTTTGCTTTGTTTTTGTTTTTTTTCATATTTAGTCAAAGGATTGTGTTTAGCGTTTCTCGGTCTATTATGTAAATTTTTTCCAGAACATATGAAAAAATATGCAGATCCACTTTTACTTGGTCAATATTTAAAATATTTACACGAACAAGTAAGAATATCAATTAGTAACATAATAAATAAAAAGTATCATCCATCTCAAGTGACAGTTCAATATAATTGAATTCGCTTATTGTTTTGTTGAACTTTTAAAATTCAACTGTAGATGACACTACAATCATATTTGATTATAAACAAGATTAGAATATTCTAAAAATATCCGTTTTTTTTTTAATTTCCTTATAAAAATTTTAATAATTTTTTAGTTAGTCAAAGATGTTAAATTTGAAATGTTAATTGCGGCAGGTGCAATAGAAGGTCTTGTTAATTATCTTGTAAATTTTACTCCATCATCAACACCTGGTAAAGCTCTTTTTTTTTTTTATTTCTATAATTACGAAAAGTACTAAATCAAAATTTTCTTATTTCTTTTTATTTGAATATAGCTAATCCACCACCACCTATAGTACGAAGTAAAACTAAAGAAGATGAAAAACGTTATAATGAAGAACGAATACGTTGTGAATCAGATTTAAAACGTATTTATATTTATGCAGCACGAGCAATACAAACACAAGATCAAACTAATTTAAATCGATATGCATTAGTTAAAGGTAGAATAAATCTATTTTTGTTTTGTTTATTATTAATAAAACCCAAAAAAAAAAAAACAAACATTATTTTATATTTTAGCTGGTCTTGAATTATTTGCACAACATTCAACATTATTTACTGAATATCTTTATGAAGATTATCCTGAAATACTTCGATGTATACGAGCATGGAATGCACATGATAATTATGATGTAAAAAAAGTAGCTCAACGTGCATATGATACATTTTTACTTGGAGTAAAAACCAAAAAAAAATTAAAACAATTTTTTTAAAATTTTTATGTTACATTTTTTTAAGGTTGCTAATGCATTAAAAGAAACAAATGTTAAAACACCAGAAGAACGTCGTCGTGCTGTACAAGTTTTTCAATATTTTATTAAAGAATTTCGAGATAAAATTGATACACCAGAATTAGAAATTCGAGATTTAGCAATGGGAATTCGTGGTTATGGAATTTTTGCTAATGTAAGATTATTCTATAAACAAGAAGTTTTACTATTTTTTGAAAATATAAGTTAGATGATTTAAATTGTATATTGTGCACTAGAGATGAGCACAGGACAGGACGGTCCTGGTGTCCTGTCCTGCCGCCCGCCAGGACAAGATTTTTATTTTTGTCCTGTCCTGCCGCCCGTCAGAACCGAGATAGCTAGCAGGACAGGACAGGAGAGAAAATCTTGTCCTGTGCACATCATAATCGAGAGAACCCATCAGTACACTATGATTTATTTCTAATTGAATAACTTGAAAATAATAGTAACTACAGCAAAACTTATGTGCACTTACTTATAGTAGATGTTCTATAGTCCACTCAAGAGAATCTTTCTATGAATGAGTTTCTCAATCCTAATCTGTATATTCATTTTCCAATATGAAAATATATGAAATATGAATAATTGCTTTGTTTGCTTTTATTATTGTATAGGCTTGTAAACTTTATGGTACAGAAGAAGATATTAAATTTATGTTTGTTGGTCTTATTCAACGTTGTGAACAAATAGCAATGCCAACAGTAACATTATCACAAGCAATGGATATATTTGATGAACGTTTTTATGGATTACCTAATTTAATTGATGCACTTTCAGCTATTATTATTGAAATGACAAATGTAAAAATAAAGAAAAATTAAGGTTTAATTAATTTTGTTTTTTTTTTTGTAGATTGGTGAAGAATTTCTTGGTCCACTTGAACGTTTAACTGTAATGACAATTGATTATTATCCACGTTATCAACCAAAACCACAAGCAACAACATGTTCATCTGTTATTAAAATGATTTTAGCTTTACAAACAAAACCAAATTCATATAAACCATTTTTATCACGAATTGGTAATTAATGTTTTTTTCGAATATTGATTTCTTTTATTAATAATTAAACATTGGTTTTTGTTTTTTTTTTTAAGTAACTCAAACACTTATTCGTTGTTGTTCACATCCATTAAAATCAACTGTTGAACAACAATTAGAAAATTATGAACCAGATGTATCAGAAGATAAACTTAAATCTCTTTTATCAATTGGAAAAACAATTACATATGAAAATTATCTTCCATTATGGAGATCAATTTTAAGTGTTACTTCATTAAAAGTAATTAAATTGCTTTTTTTTTGTTTATTGAAAGCTTTATTTTTATTTTATTTAAAGGAATTCGATACAAGTGCATATCCAATATTTGATCGACAAAATATGCTTGTATCATTATATGATGAAATTATTGATTCAATTTTACATATTATTGATCGACTTGATTTAAGTGTTGAAAAAGAAAAAGCAGATGTAAAGAAAAATTTTAAACTTTTATTGTTCGAATATAATTATAAATTTAGGATGAAAATAATGATGAAATTGCAACGAGTGATCCTGTTTTTGGTATGCGACCTGTAAAACCAATGGATTTTCAAATATTCTATAATCTTGTCGATTTTTGTCAGTAAGTTTTTCTTTATTTGTAAAACAGAAGATCAACTAATAAAATAATTATATAAGTATAGTTTTGTGAAATATATTTAATTCACTAGTAAACATTTCCATTGGTATAAATTACACAACAAATCTCCAGGATATATTTTGCCTACAAATAGACAAAGACTTCTAAGAGAAAATTTTATTTTCATCATACTTTTCAAAGATAGAAAACCAACATAAAGTCACCCAGGTCGAGAAGTACGGGCCGGTAATATGGAAGCAGTATTCCGATCGAGAATTTTTCGGGTTTTTTCCGATGGATTCCAGCCAATTCCTACTCTTTCCAGCAGAAACCGGTCAGAAATCATCGGAAAAAAATCCAGAAAATTCCCAACTGGAATACTGCTTCTATGTTTCGTCGATTTTCGATGTCTTCCTGCAGTATTCGAAGGCTGAAATCATCGTTCTGGGTAGTTGTGGATCATATAGTTTCAGTGATTTTTCACTTCATAGGAGTAACGGAGCCAGGATTTTACGCTGGTATTAATACACATGTTTAGTAAACCCTGCTGATTGAGCATATAAATTTTAGACGTTTACCAATGAGATCACTTATGAATCCATTTCATGGAATTAATCCTAATTTTTCATATACTGCTCTTATCCTTGTGCAATACTGCATGTGATTGAATTACATATTAGCAAATTGAAGTTTGTGATAAGTGAAATAGAAACCGCGCGTCTAAGTTTTGGATCTCTCTCCATTGTTGCTTTTCCATGTTTCATTTCTTCATCAGAGGACATTCGAGAGCAAAGGATTAATCTATTGTTTATTTTTCTTTTTACAGAGACTTATTACCAGATCAAACACCAGAATTATTTCAAAAATGGATATTTCGATTTTTATATGATATTATTGCTACATCAACAAAGTTTGTTTATATCATTCTTACATTTTTGTTTTTTTGATATTAATTAAATAAATATTTCTAATTTAGATATCCATTAGTTAGTGGTATATATCGATTTGCTACATTAATTATGAATATTTGTTTAAAACTTGATTATTTTAAAGTAATTAAAAATAATTATAAAAATTTTTTATTATTAAATTTTCTTTTTTTCTTAGTCAAATCGTTCTGTAGAAACAACAACAACAACACGTGCTGGTATTGAAATGATGGAAATTGATATAAATGAAAATGAACAAATTACAGCTGTTTGTTCACTTGTTCGACGATTTGCTCATGAAGTACTTTCTCGTCAAAAACAATATCGTGATGATTTACTTGTATCATGTTTACAATTTATTATTTCATTACCATCAGAATGTATTGATTATGATTTTGCTGATTATGTACCAGCTATTCAAGTAAAATTAACACACACACACACACACAAAGAATTATTATTATTTATTTTAGCTTGCGTTAAGTATTGGTTTAACTTATTTACCATTAGCTGAACAAACAATAAATAGTCTTGAACGATGGTCAAAATCAATATCATTAAATTTACCGAATTTTTATAATCAAATATTACCTTATCTTGATGATTTTCTTCGTTTATCATATGATCAAGGTAAAATTTTTGAAAATAAATAAATATAAATTAATTAGTTAATAATTTTTAGGTGATGATGTTAATGTTCGAGCTGTTGTTTCATCATTACAAGAAAAAACACGTTTAAATTCGAAAACTAAACGTGTTTTACCAACACGAATGCTTAAAAAAACTAAACAAATAAAACATGTATGTATTTTTATATAACAAAAAGAAAAACATTTCAATATTAAAACTACATAGACAATTAAACTGAAAGTACAATTAAAATGAATTCTTTTCTAAATGAGAAAATCACTTGTTTTGTAAAATATGTGTTAGAATTAAAAAACAATTGTTAACCGAAATTTTATTGAGGAAGTAAACGAAATATATAGCCGTTACTAAACATCAGGCACATACCGAAGGAGGAGAGCCCATGGGGCTCGCCCCCCCCTCTCAGGACTGAAGACGCCGGTAGGGCAGAGGCGTACCCAGGAATTTTCTGAGGGGGGTGCCCGACTCATTATGGGGCTAGACACTAGCAGAAAAATTAATTTTTGTTTTCAGAAAAAATCTTCTACCCGTACTCCCCTCCAGGTGTTTTTTTGGCTGAGGGGAGTGCCCGGGCCCCCTGAGTAAGCCCCTGCTGTAGGGGATACAGGTATACGTTTTTTTCCCAGCAAATTTTTATAATTTTCCCATGGTACTCCCCCCCCCCCCCCCCCAAGGACTTTGGGCCCTCCCTTCAGAAAATTTCTAGGTACATACCTGCCAAACATGGAACGATCCTAAATAAACCACTACTAGCATTTTGTGTAGGATAATGCTTACCACTCAGCATACGAACTAATTTATGACATACGCCCATCACTGTGGCTTGTATGTGCTTAGTCATTCTCTATTGGAAGTTGAATTGATTGGCGAGACGAAAGAACTTAAAGTCAGAGCAGATTTCTATTTTGAATTTCAACTATTTCTAGTTGTAAAAAAAAATATAGTAAGCTAACGAAACTGTTAATTGGCAGCATCGCATACTTTAAATCAGTCGAAAAGTGTGCTATATTTCGAATAATTTCAATAGAGAAAAATAAATTGAATATTCTATTTAGATTAGAGTCTAGGCTTGAGATGTATAGGAACAGAACTAAATGAAAAAAAAAATTTCTTATAATTCAAGAGAGATTAGCCCAAAGAAAGAAAAAAAATGACATATCTCTAATCATGTAATATTTATTTTAAGGAAAATAGTAGTTTCGTTGAGTATCAAAGCTCGTTAAATTAATCTATTACTAATATAGTAAATTTTTTCGAATGATAAACTTTATTCTAAAGATTTCGTCAACTAAACAAAATTAAAAAACATATTTTAACTAAAAATAAAGAAAAGAAATTTATTGTTTACAATTATCTCAAATTAGATTTATTAATTTTTATGAAATAATTTATAGTAGTTTTTATTTTTTTTTCTTCATAGCTTTTTGAAGATAGTGATATTCGTCGTGTACAATTTCGTATTTTAAAATATCTTGGTTCATTAGGCAATCGTATAAATCATTATCTTATTGATGATACTTCAAATCATTTAATAAAAGAAGCTATAGCATGGGATAATGAAAATCATATAACATTTCATGTACCATTTGATGATATAAAACCTATTATTCATCTTGGTATAATAAGAAATTTTTCTTTTGTTTTGTTTAACCTTATAATTTAATTTAGATATATTTCTACCTCGTATTGTTGATTTAGCATTACATAGTTCTGATCGTCAAACAAAAATTACTGCATGTGAATTACTTCAATCAATAATGCTTTATATGATTGGAAAAAGTGCAAATAATCGAAGTAGTGCAGCGGTCGGTTTTTATTTTAATATCATCCAAAAAAATAAGTATTTTGTTCGTTTTTTTTATATAGGCTTCTTATGATAAACTCTATGAACATTTATTTCCTGCTATACTCGAATTATCTTGTGATTCAGATACAGTAATAGAATTTAATTTGTATTTTCTAAAAAAAACAAAAACCTATTGTATTAAAAATTTAGTTTACAAAAACATTATTTACAACATTTATGATTCAAATGATACATTGGTTTACAAAAAATCAAAATTATGAAAATCCTGAAACAATGTCAATGCTTGATACATTTATGGTTTTTAAAACTTTTTTTTTATAAGTTTCTTATGAAACAATTTTTATTTATTTTAGAATGGTATGATATCTGGTCGTAATGCATCAATACGTGATTTTAGTGGAATTTGTCTAAAAGAATTTCTTAAATGGACTGTTAAACATGCTGGTGGTTATGATAAATCATCTTATTTAAAAAATGCTACATCAATTCTTAAACGTATTCTTAGTTTTTCATTACATCCAAATAGTTTTAAAAGACTTGGATCAACATTAGCATGGAATTCTATATATACACTCTATCGGTATAACGATATTTTTATTTTTTTTATCCTTTTTATTTTAAATTTAAAATAATATTTTAGTGAATCAGAAACATTAGTTGATATTTATACTCTTCAATTACTTTATGTATTTGTTGAAAGTTTAGCAATTGCTCAAGAAGATGATCCATCTTTGGGTAAGTTTATAATTGATTTTTTTTGTTATTAAATTATTATGATTTGTTCATTTTCTTTTAGGTACACAACAACAAGCAATAGGAGCTTTATCTCATATAGAACGAATAATAAAAGAAAAAGCAAATTTATTTATTAAAGAAACACCAAAACGACATCGTCCACCGTAAACATTATATTTTCTTTAAAAATAATTTTTAATTTGATAAATTTTTAGATCATGGGCTGAAGCATCACTTGATGTTACTATTCGATGGTTACTTCGGCAATGCGGAAGAATTGAAACAGAATCAAGAAGAAAATGTATTGAACTTGTTTGTACATTTATTCCACTTTTACCTGGTATGAAATATTTTATTATGTCAATGAAAAATAATTTAATTTAATTTTTTAAAGGTATTCGATCAATACGTGAATATTTTGATTTAAAAATTAAATCCGAAGGAAATATTTATTTTATTGAAAGGTAAAAATATAATTTCAAGAAAATTGAGATTTAATAAGATATTTTTCTTTTTTTCTTTTTTTTAGATTTGAAGGTACGATTAGTAAAGATAAAAAAACAAGATTTAAAGCAAGTTTAGCAAATCAAGCATGTTTAACTGATATAAGTGAAACATTTTCTCTTCCAATTGTCTATCAATGGCTTGATACACTTATTGCTTCATTAGATTGTTATACATGGGTATTTTCACAAGGTTTTCTCAATCCTCTTCTATTTCAAGGTAAGTTCAGAAACTTTAAATGTTATAGATACAACTGAATTAGTTCATTTAACATATCTATAATTCAATAATTCTAATAATTAATTGACAAGTACGATTAATTTCTTTTAAATTGTAAAACTAGTTCATCACAGAAATTAATAAACTACTTAATTAATTAAATCATTAACTCGATCAATTAATTAGTAATTAGCCGGTTAATTAACTACTTATTAATTAGTAATTGGTTAATTAACTACTTGTTAATTAGTAATTAGCTAAATTGGTGATTAATTAACTAGTTATTAACTAGTTAATTAATTAGTAATTGGTTAATTAATTAGTAATTAACTGATTAACTAGTAATTAGTTGATTAATTAGTAATTAACTGATTAACTAGTAATTAGTAATTAATTAGTAATTAATTGATTAATTCGTAATTAGTTAATTAATTAGTGATTAATTGATTAATTAGTAATTAGTTAATTAATTGGTAATTAGTTAATTAATTAGTAATCGGTCAATTAATTAAAATTGAATAGTTTAGTAAGATAACAGTATCTATTAATTTATGTTATTATTATAGACAACAATCAACAAAGTCGTTTGATTACATCATTATCATACTTTATATCAAAAATATCGATGAATACATTACATAATATAGTTAGTTATTTTCCAGCTTCGAGTCAATCATATGTATTTACTCCAAATGATGTTCGTCAATTTGATACGTAAGAGAACTTGATTTTTGTTTTTCATTTTTTTTATTTTTAATTATATATTTAGTGCGAAATGTACAGTGATTGTTCGTCTACTTAATTTTATTACAGCAATATGGTCAAAATATCCACATGATACAAAACGTGCAATTGATAGTTCATTTTATAGTAATGATTTAACAAAATTAATTTTAACTTGTGTATTTAATCCAACACAAATTGGATTTGATATTAATAATGAAGAAATTAATAAAAAATTACCAGAACGAGTTAGTTTCAATTGCTATTATCTAATTAATTCGAAATTTAATTATTTAGATTTTAATTCTACTTAAATCAATGACAACTCATCTACCTGAACAATTACTACAACCATTTTATAGTAATGCACTCCAAATGACAAAATCCGACGGGTAAATTAGTGTAAAATTGTTTAGCGCGATGTTTTTACTCTATCTATTAGGTACAGTAAAGTCAGTATATCAAAGATCTGAATGAAGATCCGTCAGCATAAAGAGATTAGATATTACAGTATTAGAATAAACTGTCAAGAGAATTGAATTTGAAATAATAAAAAAAAAATCTGAGCATCCGCTAAGATCAAATAAAAGATTGTAGAATCAAATTATGACTAAATACTAAAAAAAAAGTCTAAGCCTCTACATCTCTCATCGATATCTATTGAAATTTTCATATTAATTTTATTATTTAAAGAATGTACAATTTAACAAATGAACTCAATATGAATCCTGTTCGTTGGTCACTTATATTTACCATTACTCGTGGACTTCGTCTTTTATATGAGGTTCGATTATTAGCTAAACCAAATCAACCTGAACAATATGCTAAAGAACTTTGGACAACAATGCTAACAGTATCTATTTCTCTTGATGTTAAATATTCATTTAAAAACTTATTCTCTATTTTTTGTAGAAAATGATTACACATGAAGAAGATTTTGATAAAGCAAATCTTGTTTTAACTATTGATAATCAACGTGGTTTACAAGCTCTATTTGATTATATTATTTATTTAGGCATTAAGGTATTTAAAAAAAACAGCTGTTAGTATATTTCCTGTAGGATTAAAATGTGAAACACAATGTAGCTACTATTGCTAATTATAGGACGATTGTTCTTTTCTATCTATTTTCGGACATATTTCTTCAAAAATCCAAGAAGGAAATAGTTTATATATCATAACGAGACGTGATTAATACACAGTCTTTAACTAGTAGAGTTCGTCCGATGCAAATCATGTTCGGATCTGATAGTTTCTACTGGCTAATGTCTGTCACAATCTTTTAGAACGAAATCTAAGTTTTAACTATTATACTTCAAAACTCTTTTTAAATTATTTTCTATTTTAGCCTAATGAAGTTTTACCATACTTTTTTCAATCAAATCGTATTCATACTGATTCTGGTATGGCAACAGTTGGAACTTATTTATTAACATTATTTAAACATCAAATAACAAGTTGGCTTGGTACAACACCACATTTTATTATAAATAATATTGGTGAAATAAAAACAGTTGAACAATGTCGTTTAATTGTTTCTTTTCTAAGCGTTGTTCTTGATTTATGTAGTCGAGAAAAAGATATACGTCAACAATATGGTCGACAATTTGTTGATGGTATATATACATGTTGGTCATTATTTGTTCCACTTTATCGTTCAACAAATATTGATGATAAACTATTAATTGTAACATTATTAACAAAAACATTTATTATTGATAGTCGTTTATTAATAAAACATGAACAATTTGATCATATATCACAAATGTATTTATCATTATTAATTGATAAACAATTAAATTTAACATTTAAAACACGTTTACTTGATTTATTACCATTTTTTGCATCACTTGATACAGATGATGATTTAAATGAAGATAAACGTAAAAAATGGTCTGATGATTTTTGTCGTACATTACATACATTTACAGCTGATTGTTTTCCATTAAAAAGTACTGAATTTCATAAAGGTACACAAGAATATCATGATTATCAAGGTGCAATAAGAAAAATATTATTAGCACTTGAATTATCATCATCATTTATATTATTTGAATTATTAATATGGATGTTATGTTGTGAACAACATCATATATTTGAAGATGAAATATTATCATCAATAAATCGTTTTATAATTAAATTAAATGATCATAATAAACAAATGTATTTACTTGATTATATTTATTCAATATTATATGGACAAAATTTATTATTTCGTATTGAACATCGTTTAAATGCATTAGAAAAATTTATATTAAAAATATTAACATCAGTTAATAAGTCAACATTAATTGAATTTTATAAAAAATATATATCAGTATTTGTTATTGAACAACTTGATATTAAAATTGATTTAACATTAACAACAATAACATCAATATTAATAAATAAAATAGCAACATATCGTTTTATTGATTATATGTATACAATATTAAATAAAGATGATGTTTTTGGTTTAAATTCTTTAATTGCAAAAATTTTTTATGAAACAGTTAAAAAACAAGAAGAAGCAAGAAAATTATTAAATATTGAAATGCCAATAACATTAATTAAAATAGGTTCAACTATGGATGGTAAAGAATTAACAAAATATATTATTGCACGTGCTCGTGCACAATTTATTGATGGAAAAATAATTAAATCAATGGAAAACATGTTAAATAATGTAACAACTATAGAAAAAGAAATGAAAATGAATTTAATTCGTTTATTAGCAATGAGTTCATTTAATTGTCTTATTTCAGTATTAATTTGTACACAAACAGAAGCTAAACTTTATAAAGCTTTTATTTTTGATGCCAATCCATCAAAGGTAATATTAAAAAGAATTTGAAATTCTATTTGAATTTTAATCGAATATTCTACCGTGTAGGGTGAGATACGGTACACATATCGTACTACGACTGATAGACCACAGTGCTAATAAGAATTCGCAGTAGCACTTACCACTTCCGGTTTCAGCTATGAATGTAAAATAGAAATTAATCACATAGCTATGATCGATTCGTACTCAATAGTTAGTACAGGCGACTCTGATATACCAACATTTCAAAAGATTCGGCGATAAATCGTCAGTGTAGCGCAAATCCTAACGATAGAACCACTAGCCGGTATAAATTCACATGGTGCATATTGCCTTGATATGCCTCTGCCAGAGATGGGCAAGTCAAATCATTTTTTGACTTGAGAGTTTTTCTTTTGAACGCTTGACTTGACTTGTGACTTGGCCTTCAAAGGCAAGTCACAAGTCAAGTAAAAAAACTGCACATATTTTTGCAATTTATGAGTCTAATTCTTGTGTACACTAAAAGTACCTATGAGAGCAGAAACAAAGAAAAAGAAATTCTTTCATGTACTTCAAATAAGCAGCAGCCAGATGAGGATAAATAGTCATTTTTTGACTTGACTTGACTTTACAAATTCTTTTTAAAGCTCTTGACTTGACTTGACTTGGAAAGCGCTGTGACTTGACTGGACTTGACTTGAATAGTTTTTTTGGTGATTAATGACTTGACTTGACTTGAACCTTAAAAACTCCTGACTTGCCCATCTCTGACCTCTGGTGCCAGTGTTTCGTATTGAACACATTTATTTGCATCAAACAATTTTATCGCTCACTAGACTATCTTCATACGGTTTGATAGCACTTCTAAAACACTTTAAAATGATTCGAGGAAAAATATTGGCCACACCAAGAAATCCTTAAGTATACTGTTCTTGCGGCAAGACTTGGAGCCTTTTTTACTGATGTTCTGTAAATTTCGATATGAAAACTAAGTTTCGACTGGGAACTGATATGATACTCTGAATCCGCATCCGAAACTGTATAAACTTATATGTATTTCAAGTATATTCGTAAGCCTTTTTTTTTCCATTGAAAAGTTATCTGGTCAGTGAAAATATTTTCTCATGTTATAAAACAATAGTAGTACTCGGAATAGTGGAACAATCAACAATATAAACAGAGTTTTCATCAAATTCACTTTTTGATCCAACATTGAAGAAGAACATAAGTAGTTTCTGGTAAATAATTTATAAACTAACCACATGATTTTTTGAAATAGCAGCATATTTGATAAAGTATGACTTTTTTCAAGTTTTTGATTATTGGAATAACTCGGGATGCGGGGGTGATAGAAATAAATACACTCACATATACATCTCTACTAGATCTATGATAGTTGTTTTGTTTTGAAAGTCTTAAAAACTTTTATTTCTTGTTTAAGAAAATTTTTACATAAATTCATTCGTTGTTTATCTTATAGGACGAATATATCTTTGAAAATATAATCGATCCAGATTATAAATATAAATTTCCTCTTGAACTTGAACATTATTATAAAAAAGATAAACGTACATTATTAAATATTCTTTGTAAAAAAATTCTTACATCATCAAATACTGATAATCAATATTATCAACAACGTTCATCAATAACACCACGTTATTTACCATCTCAATATTTATTTGGTAGTAGTTTAACTGATGAATTAGCTCTTTTTGATTTTACATCTGTTGTTGCTAGTCAACAACAAAATGATTTAAATAAAAATCAATTAAATTCATTTACAGAAAATTCTTTTGAAATATCATTTAATAAAAAAATTGATGATAGACCAGCATTAATCGAAGATACAGATAATAATTATGGAATAAATTTTATTGAAATTGAAATGGATGAACTTAATTTACATCCATGTATGATACCAATGATATGTTTACTTAAACATATGGAAACAAATGGTATAACACCAATACAATCTGATATGCCACCATGGATGATTTGTTTATATAAAAAATTTAGTGATACAACAATAATATTTAATATAAAATTATTTATTATGCGTCTTATTATACATACACATACAATATTTAAACCTTATGCACGTTATTGGTTAACACCAATAATTCATATGTGTAATCAAATGTTTGAAAAATCTTCTGAAGGTTTAAATACATTTATTATTGATACAATTGTTATATTATTATCATGGAATTCTATAGCTATACCAAGTGAACTTGATAGAATAGCTGTACAACGTTTATTAGAATATTTATTTCTTAATTGTACACATAAAAATTCATTTGTTATGAAAACAAATTTAGATTTAATTAAAAAATTAATTGAATTATGGAATGAACGTATATATGCACCAACATTAATTATATATAAATTAATATCTGATCAAGATATTAAATCAAAACATAATGCTATAGGTTTATCATTAATTGGTATATTATTAGCAAATAATATTTTACCTTATAATGATATAAATGATTTAAATGAAGATAAATTTAATGAAACATTATTAAAAAATATGAAAAATTCCTTTCGTAATATTTATGCTGCAGCTGCTGAAGTTATTGGAATGTTATTAAATATTAAAAAATTAAAAGGTCAATCAAATGAACGTTTATTAGAACAATTAAGTTTTATATTAAAATGGCATAGTAGTCAACCTATACAAGATACATATGTAACATGTATTTATTCATTACAAAAACATTATCCTGAAATTGTTGATAAAACGTAAGAAATTTTATTTTGAAAAAGAAAAAATTAGTTGTCTTTTTTTTTTTGTTTTTTCATTTTAGTATTATGAATAAATTAATATTTAGTTTAAAAAAATTATATGGAGATTTTAAAATAGAATGTTTAGAAGCAATGATTGCAAATATTACAGAATTTGATTTTGCTTATTTGGAATTAAAAGCAGCTGGAATACTTGATATTCTTATTCATAAGTAAATATAGTCTTTTCTATTAATTAGAACGTCTTATGAAATATGAACAACATTTTCTAAGAGAACGGAAATTTACTTCTTTAATATTCATAAAAAATTTTATGTCTAACGTCAGTTTGAATGAACACAAAAAATATCTGATTAAATCCTTTTATTCTGAGTGTTAACACAGCATTGAATTCTTTGAGATATTTCATTTATACTTAACAGTAATCTGAGGATGCGGTATTATAGTTTAACTCAAGGTTCTGCATTAGACTAGATGAAGCTGTTGACCAGCTGATAAACTGTCATATATTTAATCACAATCAATAGGCTCAATTCACATGAAAATATGTATTTCTTTTGAGATAAAAACTGTCACATAGTTATCCTGTTTTCTTACACTATTCTATTCTAAAGATAAAGTTTATGATTTATGAAATATATTAATAATATTTTTTTTTGTTATTTTAGAGATTTTAGTATTCGTAGTGTTGCATTACGACTTTTACATAAACTTTTACCAAAATTAACACATGAACAATTATTTGAAATAGCACAAATATTATCTGTTGATGGTCCAAATGAATGTCAATATTGGACACTTGAAATATATAAATGGATGTATGATTATATAACACAAAAAATAACAAATGAATTAGATATTTCTTTAAAATCAATATCAGAAAAATTTTATCATCAAGTACGTGAACAATTACTTCAATTATTATCAAGTAAAAATGAATTTATACGTGTTAATTGTCGTAATTTTTGGTGTGATCCAAAACGTTTAAGTATATCATCAAATCATCGTCTTATTGCATTAGTTGATCAATTATATTCAATAAAAACTGAAAATGAATATTTAAATTATTGTACAAATTTTCTTCTTGAACGTACAACACATAATCCTGATTATAATCGTTTTATTTTCGAAAATCCACTTGATAAATGTATATTTCAAGAATTTCCATTAGTATGTAATTGGCGTCAACAACATCATACATATATGACACCATTATTTACATTACAATCTCAAACTACAAATGATCCAATAAATACAAATATAATGACAATGGATCCTGTTCATTTTATGCAAACATTAACAGATAATAATAATAAGATTGATCAACAACAACAAAATTTAACAACAACAGGAATGCTTTTACAAACACAAGAAATATCTAATCGACAACAATTTATTCCAACACAAATTTTAGATAATAATAATATAAATTATAATTGGCTTAAACAAACAAATACATTTGATACATCAAATACATATGTTTTACCAACATTATTAACACAAAATAAAGAAACATCATTATTAGTTAATGTTGAAAATAAAAATCAAAAATTACAAAAAAATTTATTATTAATAAATCAATTTAATAAAAATGAAAATAATAATAATGATAATGATAATGATGATATATTTCGTCTTAAACGACGATTTCTTAAAGATACAGGTAAATTACATAGTTATTTTGCACGAAAACAAAATGAAAAAAAACAAAAAGAAAAACAATTTCTTAATGATATTAAACTTAAACAAGAAAATCAAGTTGAAAAATATCGTACATATCGTATTGGTGAATTACCTGATATACAAATACGTTTTAGTGATATTATTATACCATTACAAGCACTTTCACAATATGATAATCATATAGCACGTTTACTTTATTCAAATTTATTTATATCAATATTAAATTCACTTGAAGATAAATTATCTAATGATGAATATATTGAATTAATTGAAACAATTCAACATCGTTTTAATATAATGTTATCTCAATCAGAAATATTTTATCCATCATTTATTATATCTTTACTTGATATTATTTTATCTAAATCAAAACAAATTAAAATTTTATCACAATATATAAGTACATCAGTTATATCTAGTCATTTAGAACCTATTGGTATATTAACATTAGAATGTTTTATTCATTTAAATCAAACAAATGAATTAAATGAATTAATATATGAATCTGTTAAAAAAAAATTTAAATCTGATTCTAATTTAAATAAAAATATTGATTATTGGCTTGAATTAGCTAAATGTTATCGTTCAATAACAAATTATGATGATGTACGTGGAATATTTTATCAAATATCATCATTAAAATCTTTAACATTAAAAGCTATTGAAGAAGAAAGTCATTCAGATTTTTTATCAGCATTAAATAGTTATGTAACAGCATTAGAACAATATCCATTAACAGATGATACTATAAATGATACAGTTTTAGAATTAGAACATGAATTTTGGACACAATCTATGTTAAATTGTTGTAATCAATTAAATAATTGGACAATTATGTCTAAACATATATTTATTGCTAATACAACATTTGATACATTATGGTCAAATGCATATCAATTAAATTATTTAATGCCATATGCTATACGTGCTAAACTTAAATTACTTATATCAGGTACTGAACAAGAACAATTAGAACAAGAAGGTCTTTGTCAATTTTTTAATAATTTATCAACAACAACAAATGTTACAACAACATCTGATTCAGAAACAACATTTGTTAAACGTTCTTATATTGAAAAACAATATCCATTTGAATTAGCTACATTCTTTCTTTATCAAAAAGATTTTGATCGTAAGTATAGTTATTCGAAGTTTTTTTTTTTTTTTTATTTAAAGTCCCCCTTCTCTCACAGATGGGTCTCAGCTCAGAAATATCCAAATTGTATGAAACTTTCAGGATATGTTAGAACTGTTGAACTCACGTGTTGACAAAAAACGAAAAATGATTTTCGATTTTTTGTAAAAACGGCTTATTTTTCGAATGAGAGGTGATGAAAATTTTCCAAATTTTTTGGAAAAAAAAGAGGTGTCAAATAAAAATTTTTGTCGCATATAAAAGAGCAGATGATAGGCTGTTTTCTCATGAATTTATCTCAATTTCAATGATTCCAGCGAAAAGTGACTTTTTTGAAGGGGTCCCTCCCCCTAAGCAAAGAAGAAATTCAAACAGCAGTGTCACATATCCAAGATTTTTGGAGATGGCACCACGTCTCCCGCGGGAGATGTCGCATCTCGCGCGAGAGATGTGGGTGTGGGGGATGCGCATCTTTAAAGGAGATCTTACATCTCCAGTGGTGAATGACCACATCTCTCGAGTGTGGGTGTCGCGTCTCCCGCTGGAGACGCGGCATCTCCCACGAGAGATGTGGTGGCATCTCCAAAATCTTGGATATGTGACACTACTCTATTTAAAAAAAAATGTTTTTTTGTTTTGTTTTATAGGTTCAAAATATTATATTCAATATGCTAAAGAACAATTTTTACTTCGTTGGTCACAATTAAGTCGTTTAAGTGAATATGGTCGTAAAACAACAATACAATTAATACAACCATATCATGAACTTGATCAATTTCTTATTTTTATTGAACATAATTTACCTTTACTTAAAACACTTGAAAATCGTTATTTAACAAATAATAAAAATGATACAATAACTCGTGATCTATTTCATGAACGTATACATAATGATTTACTTTCACAATGGCAATTACCTGATGTTATTCGTAGTTCAATTCCAATATGGGATGATATTATTACTAATCGATCTTTATTTTTAGATGTAAGTTTAATAATCAAATATTCTAGAAAAAAACAACAACATATTTCTTTCTTTTTTTTTTTCTATTCTTAATTAAAGATTCTTGATGAATTAGTTGGTGGACCACGAATGACATTTACAAGTCGTTTAAAAGCATTAGAATTTGATCCAATACTTATTGATTATAAAGTTCAATTATCACTTGATATGGCATATTGTGCATTACGACAACGTAATTTTAAATTATCTTTAACAAAATTAAATGATACACGTAATCGACTTGATTTATGTCAAAATTCATTAATAAAATCAATTTATTGGAATGAAATCTATTGTGATGTACATTTAAAACGTCATCAAATACAATCATCAATATCAACATTATCAAGTTTATTATCAACACTTGTTGCTAAAGAATTAAAAAAGATGGAAACAAAAATAAATGCATTAGATATTATTGATGAACAAACAGCTTCATTAAATTCAACATATATACAATTAAATTCACAATTTTCTCGTACAGTTATTGATTTTTTACTTGCACAACCAAAAGCTTATTTTAATTATGAAAATGATGATAAAATTTCTCAAGCTAAACATCGACAATTAGAAATATATTTATATGGTTTTGATGATCATACAACGAATATACAAGCAGCAGATTTATTAATTAATGAATTATTTAATAAAAGTGTTAATATATTAAAAACTAATATTGAAAAACAAGAAACAAATTTACAAAATATATCAGTAAGCAAAAAAAACAACCTAATTTTCTAGGAAAATTCAAATAGAAATCTATATATATAATGTTCAGTGTGTATCTGTGTGTTTCTCTGTGCCGGGTCAAAGGTTAAAGGTCAAATAAGGCTATAAGCAGAAGGCCCAAGGGCTATCCTATGGAGGTACCCATAGACCCTCAAGAGCTATAATATGTGGGTACCCATAGGTCCTGAAGTGAGTATAGCAAGAAGAGGGTAAGGCAATAAGAGGATGATGCTACCAGGGGTATAAGGCTATAAGGCCGAAGGCTAATGGACTATAAAAATATGTGCGATGTAAGAGTATGAGGCCGTAGGGCTACGTATCCGTATACATAATATCGAGTGTCTGTATGTCCGTTACCGGATGAAAAGTTAAACGTCCGTCGTCATACGTTAGAGAAAAAACAAAGAGCCGTGCAGTATGCACGAGCTCTTGCTAGTTAATTAAATTTTAATCTTGACTAAGAAATGTTTTTGATAAAATATTATGTAATTATGTAAAAAATTTGTTTTGGAAATCTTTCCGAAAAATGTATAATAATGTGATCTAGTTCCAATGAAATTTTCGTTTTGACATGTGTATTAGATAGAGAAACTTCAGATCTATAGTTCAAGATACCATACAAATGGTTATTTTCTCACAATCTAACGGTAAGCAAATGAATTCAGCTATTTGTTTGTTAGGATAATAGAGAATCACGTTGATTTGTAATCGAATTTCCTTGTTAAATTTGCATCGGAATAACAAATCATTTTGCTACAATGTAAGTCGAATTCAGTTAAAAATCAACGCAATCTTCCATTATTTTGCCAAGGAAATAGCCGACTTTATATACTTAGCATTATATTGTGAGAAAATAACTATTTGTATTGTATTTTGAACTACAGATCTGACGAGTTCCTTTGTCTAATACACATATCAGTATGAAAATTTCATTTGAACTAAATTACATTATTATACTTTTTTTTCGAAAAGATTCCTAAAACAGATCTTTTAAGTAATTACATAATATTTTTATCAAAACATGTCCTAAGACAGTCTCTTTCGATTGGTAAAAACAACAGATCATTAGTTATTACTATTCTCGACATATTCATCTAATACTAACCTACGTTTAATTTTTGCGTCGACAATACTTTGAATAATTTGTAAGAAAATATGAATCAAAATTGCAAAAAGAAAAATAATTCACTCTGACTACTATAAAAAAAAACACTAAACAGATGAAAGATTAAATATAAATTATTTTTTTTCTTGTTTAGACAAATATTCGTCTTGCTAAAGAAAATGTTCTTAGTCGTGATTATAATGAATTAGCAAGTCTTTGTGATGATTATTTACGTCGATATGAAAATAATGAAGATGAAAATCATTTAATGCAAAATTTATTTTCTAGTAATAATAGTAATAAAATTGCAGATATAATTGTTAAATCTATTCTATCATCAATGAAATATGGTTCAAATGAAGGTGTTAAACGTTTTTCACGTTTATTACAAATAATTGAATTATATCCAAATACAATGGAATCTATAAGTAATCATTTACAAGAAATTCCTTGTTGGATGTTTTTTGATTGTTTATATCAAATAACAGCATATTTAGATAAACCAATAGGGTAAATAATGAACACTTTTTTTTTTTTTTGAAAAATTTTTTTTTTGTCGTTTTTTAAGTCTTAAATTATATCCACTTATTGAACAAATTGTTAAACAATATCCTCAATCAATTGTTTATCCATTTAAATTAAGTTATGAAACACTTCAATATTCAACAAATGATCCAATATTAAAACATAATCTTGAAATAATACGTCAAAAATTAGATCGTCATACACCACTTGTTAATGAATTTATTCATGCATTAAATCAATTAAATCCTCAACAAGAATATGAATATTGGTGTAAAGAATTATATCAATTATTAACAAATGATCGAAATATACGAGATATAAATAAACTTAAAAATCATTTAAAAAAATTTAAAGATATACTTTTTTCTGATATTATTAATTCTGATGAAATTAATAATGAACATTTAATAACAACAATAACATCACAAGATAGTGTTTTTAATGATGATAAAGATCAACGATTAAATAAACCTCGTTTAACATCAATACGTTTTCAATTTAAAAATACAGTTGAAAAAGATTTAGATAATTTATTTGGTAAACAAGGTGAATTATTTTCAACGGTTTTATTAACAGATATTAAACCTATACTTATTAATCTTGGTACAAAATTAAAATCTATATCACAAGATAAAACAAATATAAATGATTATTCAACATGGTTTTCATTAACATTTCGACAACAACATCGTATATTAGGTACACCATCTATACGTGAAATTGAAATACCAGGTCAATATACAAGTAAAAAAAAACCATTAATTGAACATCATATTAAAATAGTTGGTTTTGATGAAAAAATTTTGGTTTTACAATCATTAAGATTACCTAAACGTATAACAATACGTGGACATGATGAAAATGATTATCGATTTTTAATTAAAGGTGGTGAAGATATACGACAAGATCAACGTATTCAAGCATTATTTTCAATTATGAATGATCTTTATGATAATGATCCAAATTGTAATCAATCAAATTCAGCACATATTACTGTACAAACTTATAAAGGTAAATATGAAATCTATATATATAATGTTCAGTGCCTGTCTGATGTCTCTGTGCCCAGGTTAAAGGTCAAATAAGACTATAAGGAGAAGGTCCTCAAGGGCTATTATCTGGGATTACCCGTAGGTCTTCAACAGCTATTATATAGGGAGTATCCACAGGTACTTAATAGCTATTATACGGGGTTACCTATAAGTTCTCAAGGCCTATTATATGGGGTAGCCACAGGTCCTCAAGAGCTATTATATAGGGTATCCATACATCCTCAAGAGCTAATACACAGGAGTATCTATAAGTCCTCAAGGGCTATTGTATGGGCTACCTATAGGACATGAAGAGCTATAATATGGAGATAGCCATAGGTTCTCAAGAGACTGAAGCAATAAGGAGATAAGGCTAGGCATCTGCAAAGTGGTCCCGGTCCCGGGACCAAAATTTTGGCTTTTACCGGGACCGGGACGGGGCCGGGACTAAAATTTTACTTTTGCCGGGACCGGAACCGGGACCAAAATTTTCAAGGTAGTCCCGGCATTATTTTTTATCAGAAACTCGATTCTGCGTTTAGGTATTTCTTCTATTTTTGTGATCAGAAATCCAAAAAAACAGCAATTTTCTTTACAATTCTGATAAAAATTTTCATCGATCCTCGTCTCAGTTTCAAGAATCGGAATTTTTTCACCATAATACAATTTTTAACTGGCATCGAGTCCAGACCGGAACCGGGACCGGGACTAAAACATTTTTCACCGGGACGGGACCGGGACCGGGACCAAAAAAACTGATTTTGCAGATGTCTAGATAAGGCTACAATAGCTAGAAAGGATACAAGGCTATAAGGCCGAAGGCTACATAGACTATAAAAATATGTGCGATATAAGAGTATGAGGCCGTAGGGCTATCTATCTGTATACATAATATCGAGTGTCGGTATGTCTGTTCTTGAATGAAAAGTTAAACGTCTTAGATCATACGTTGAAGGAGAAAACAGCCGTGCAGTATGCACGGGCTCTCGCTAGTAGAAAAAAAAAACGAAGAGTTTAATTTTGTTTTTCTTTTTGCTTTAAATTTAGTTATTCCAATGTCAACAAAATTAGGTATGATTGAATGGCTTGATAATACACGTCCATTAAAAGAACTTATTGAAACAAGTTATACACAAGCTGAACATGATATTATTTCACAAGGTCAACATCCAAGAAAACTTTATCAAGATTATGTTACAAATGTATTTCAAAAAGCTAAACCAACAGCTAAATCAACAAGTAATACAATTATGTATGCTGAATTATTTATTAATTTAACAAAAACACAAGTACAAGATGAATTTAATAAAATTCAATCAATTATACCTAGTGATTTACTTCGACGTGCTTATTATAAAATGGCTAATTCACATGAAGGATTTTATACATTACGTAGACAATTTATTACAAGTTATGCTGTTTTATGTACAAGTCATTATATACTTGGTATTGGTGATCGACATCAATCAAAGTATGTTTAATATATAGAATATATGTATATTTTAATGACGAATTATTTATTTAGTTTTCTTATTGATATAACATCAGGACAAGTTATTGGTATTGATTTTGGTTCAGCATTTAATGCTGCAACTATTGTAAGAATAAAATTATATTTTATCAAAAAAAAAAAATTATCAATTAATCTTTTAGCATTTACCTGTTCCTGAACTTATACCTATTCGTTTAACACGACAACTTATTCAATTAATGTCACCAATTGGTACTAATGGTCTATTTCGTGCAACAATGATTCATACAATGAATGCATTACGTGAAAATTCTGATTTATTACTTAGTACAATGGATGTTTTTATTAAAGAACCACTTATGGAATGGATGGTAAATATTTCTATTGTTTTATTTTTATATTATTTTTAAATTTATTTTTTAGGAACATGCACTTAAAACAAGTAAACAAATTTCACAAAATGGTATATTTAAATGATTATGAAAAATGTCCAAAAAGATAATTATGTTTTTTATTTTCAGAATCACCTACAATTCGTTCTGATGATACATATGCTAAAGATCGAATAAAAAGTGCACGATTAAAACTTAATGGTATTAATCCATCAGTTATTACTGGGTATGTATAAGAGCAAAAAAAAAAAGATAAAATCTAATTTATTGATTTATTTTTAGTTCTGATCTTAAATTAAATAATTTTCTTCGTCCATCCAGTTTGAAAGAAGCACTTCGTCAAATGGAAAAAGTACTTGGTGGTGATCAAATACAAAATAAACGTGCACAAATTCTAATGCAATATGAATCAAATCGTTATCATAAATTGACAGTTGATGAACAAATTGATTGTATTATTGATCAAGCAACTGATGTTGATATACTTGGTCGATCCTGGGCGGGTTTAGAAACATTTATGTAATTCAATGCACTTTTTCTATGACATTTACTTTTCTTGTTATTCTTTACATTCAAAACCTTTATTTTGACAAATAAGCTTTTTTTTGTTCTTGATGCAGATAGTTAAATTGAAATTATTTTCTTTTTATGTGTATGTATGTGTGTGCACGGTGACGATTATTTCTTTTTTTTTCTCATTGTGTAATTCGACTTACTCTTTTCCTGTCCAGTTTATGATTCCGGTGTTTTTTTTTTGCTGGAATCAAATAATAAATATATAGACAAGAATATTTCGATCAATAAATTAATTGCTTATAGAAAACTCAAGTCAACAATAGAAAACATTCACTATTTGATTTTGAATTATGATGACAGTATTGATTGTAAATGTTCTATGATAAATATCAAGAATAAAGTTCAGGGATTAGAAACAGTTGACAAATATTAGCATTAGTTCACAGCTGCAATCATTAGAATAGTATGACGTGATCAATCATAGTGTGGTTAGAAATGTTTTCAACACTGGAATGTGGATGTTGGTCAATGCAGTGTGAACATTTTCTTTAATTCTCCTCCGAACAGCTTTCACATTCAAACCCATAGTTTAGGGACGAAAATATCAGCCATAGGGAAATTAAACATCGAAATGTATACAATGACGTATGCATAAAGATATAGGATTATGCGTACGGGAGTATATATATATGATGTGTAGATAGGAATACAGATACATAGGTAAGGTATAGTTTTGATTAGGAATAGGAACATAGGTTATATCTTTTGTAAGATATTGGCATTGAGCCGAAAACCGATTGATTTCCAAACAATTCTGCTCTAAATCCAGCAAGATGCGACAAGATCCGATAGTCAAAATCTTTCTTTTGGGTTTGTTATCACAGTGTAAGAAACAAAATTGAACGGGTGTCGAACAATTTCAAACCTGAGTGTATTCGAATAGAGATACTATGTATGTGATAGATAGAATCTATCGAAGTTACTAATGGGTTCATCTAAACGATTAGAAAACTGCTATTTCTATCAGTAAATATGTTTGAGTTTCCGACACACTTTTCATCATTATCGATTGTGTTCGAATTTAAAATTCTAGTAAACGATTATGCAGGAGCATTATGAAAAATATCGTCTTTCAAAAAAAGAAACTGCTTTGGTGCAGTGATAGTGCATTTGAATGAAACCTATGTAATTACCTTCTTTTAGATTGTTATGGCTTGGTCGTTAAGTATTATAGTAATTTTAGTAATAATATGTCAGAGAACTCATACATTAGAACCGTTCAATCCATATAGACACGATGGCTCTTGTAGGGCATCGATGTCTATCTGTTCTTTCGAACTACGTGCTACTGGAACTATGACGATGTTCTATAAAAATCTCTTTCGAGTCATTGCCACTGATAATGGTACATTATATCATTATGAAGACTCTAGCCAAACATTTCCCATGAATGAAATTATAACGGCCGATGGTTATCCAAAACTTGTATGTTCATTTGATTTAGTTTTCCACGTGCTATGTTTGACACAGTTTTCGCTCGTTTTCTTAGGTGTACGTTTTTAATGATTCTCTACCGGGTCCTGTTTTACATGTGTATCAGAATCAAACTGTACGCATACGTATTCACAATGATTTTCCAACAGAATCACTTAGCGTTCATTTTCACGGTATTCGACAAGTGAATACACCAGAGAGTGATGGAGTTGGACGAATCACTCAGCTATCTATCTTACCGGGTTCCAGTTTCCAACACGAGTTTGTTGCACTGGATACTGGTACTTTCTGGTATCATTCACATGTTCAATCTCAAATAGCTATGGGGCTATTAGGTGGTTTTGTTGTGCATCCGCGAGAAGTGATCACTCAAGAAGAAAAGGGTGAATTCGTATTGGTTCTCACTGATTGGCAACACTTTTACACCACTGAACAACATCATTTGCTCATCGAGAGCGGTCAATTCTATCTAAATAGTTTGGAATCGTTGAAAACATCGGGTACAATTGATTTTTATGAAGCTGTTGATGGATCACGAGCAGCTGAAGCATTAGTCACTTCAATTCTTATTAATGGACGTGGTCAATATTTTGATCCGCATGCAGAAAATGACAGATCAAGTACAACGCCATTAGAGTATCTAAGAGTAGATTCGGCATCCAACAACGCTGTTTACCGTCTACGTCTGATCAATGGTGGTAGTGTATTTTCAATGAAATTCTCTATTGATGATCATCCATTGAAAGTAATCGCGTCGGATGGCATACCATTTGCAGAACCGATGGTAGTCGATCAATTAGTTATTGGTCTTGGAGAAAGATACGATGTTTTAATTACAGTTGCAAAAAAGAGAGCAATCAATTACTGGATTCGAGTCGATACAATGGATAAAAACAACAATCCACGATGGCACGCTCGAGCAATCTTACAGTATACGACTGATACGATCATGCCAACATCACAACCACGAAAATGTACTACGAATCAACCATGTCTCATTTTAAATTGTCCTTTCACTCAATACGGTCCAAATAGTGCCAAGTCTTTGATTTGTTTGACTCCTCTGGATTTAACCACACATCCAGATCATCTTGATCGCGAGCTTCTAGATGAAACAACAATACCTGACGTCCGCAAAACACTCCAGTTGACCATTGTTGGACGTACTGATAAACAAGCTGGTTTCGAATCATTCAATTACATTGGTATGAAATATCCATCGATTGATAAACCGGTTCTCTATAATGCTCGTCGTATTCGAAAAAAATTTGCCTGTTCCAATCGGTTATTGGGCGGTGATACTGGTGAAAAATGCTATCATACCATAACTGCTGAATATAACAATATTGTAGAGTTACTACTTATCAATCACGATGATGATCAACATCCTCTCCATTTACACGGTTCCTACTTTCATATTGTTGAATTCGGTCTAGCTCAATTGAATTCAACAACTGGTCTCATCAAAGCTAACAATCCCAATGTTTACTGTGACAAACATGCTCGATGTTCATGTACGAAAGAAAATGGTGCATGCAAGAAAAATAATATGCGTTTGGTGAAGGATACAGTGCAGTTGCCCAAAGGAGGGTAAGATTCGCGTTGAATCAAGAGTGAAAGTTTACTGAGAAGAGACTTTGATTTTGTTTTAAATTTAGATACATGAGAATACGTTTTCGAGCGACGAATCCCGGTGTTTGGCTCTTCCATTGTCATACGGAACCACATTTAGATCGAGGCATGACCATCAATATTCATGTCAGTACATTGATATATATCATCACACAGCGATCATCACACAGTTTACTAATATGTTTAGGTCGCCGAAGATCAAATATTTCTGTCGAAGAAAGTCAATCAATGATTTTTGCATATGATAGCATGTGTGTGACACTGATTTTTGTTCTCTCAATTATATGCTTGATTATTGGTGAACAAAGAATAAATGATGCTTTTGTTTTATGTCATTCTGAAGTTTATATTTCGTAATGAAATCTCAAACTCCAAAACATATTAGAAAAGCCTGAAGATATAAATGAAACATATTCTGGATTGAAGTAGTTCATAGTTGATGTTTTGACTCCTTCGGTTCGAACTGATCAATCTCAGAGTACTCTCGAAAACATGGGTGTAAGTGTGTTCTTGAAAAGAAAACCTACACTCAGAACCATGTTTGAACGCGTTTCAAAAAGAAGATTTTAAAAGTAAAAAGTTGGAAATGCATACCATTCAGTTATACAGACTTAAAATTCGTCTCATCACAAGAAATGTGTATTAAAATTTTAACTTAGAAATATGTCTGATTTACTAATAGAATTTTCCATTCATGTACTTCACATGATAACTCTCCAAGATGTCTTTTTTAAAACTTTTATATTAAAAGACGTGTTCTGTGACTAATAATCACGTTGTTGATGAAACCTTATGAATGATTTCTCTCCGTTCGACAACTTGATTCTCTGAAATATGAATCTAGAGGGTGTGTGTAGCGATGCAGAAGAAGAAAATACTCCCATCTTCATTCAGATCATTGGTTTCTGGTTGTATCCGCCGACTTTCCATCAGTAACTTGTCCGGAAACACTACGAGTGTAAGAGAAGTGTTCTGGATAGCAGTGAAACACGGTCGAACGAAAAAAAAATATTCTCACTCCACGATGATTGCTTCAGGACAAATATCCAGGACGAACAAAACAATCCGTACGAATCCTTTGATTATTATCATCGGAGGGTCATAACAACAGAGAAGCTTCACTTCAAATCTGTCGACAGGCTGACCTCGACTAACGAACAAGGCGAAAATGATCTATCAAGCTCTCATAAAATCCGAGACATACAGAAAAACTAATCAAAGGAGTAGGCTGATTTTACTTGAGGAAAAAACGTATCTTCCCATTTAGCAGCTACTTGAAAAGTAAACAGTCTATGACGAAAGTGAGACCCTTTTATACTATAAAACTCAACTTAATTATAACGGAAAGCATCATATTTGCTCACTTTTTGGGACGGAAGCTTTCCATTCACTCCAAAAAACGCTGATTTTCGGATGAAAACATGTAAAATGATGAGTGAGAACCGATTCGAAGAACAAGAGTGTAAGGAATACGAGAATGACTTGACTATAGAAACAGTATAATTTGTGTTATCGAAACGACGAGGTTCCTTCCGTATCCTAAGGCCTGGAGTTAATGACTAGAATCGATATGAAAATGAATGCATGAACTAGTGTCGAATCCGGTCGTGGAAATTCGACGGGTCCAGCCGTTTCTTATCGTATCTCCTTCATCTGGAAAAAAGTATTTTTTCCATTACTTCATTGATCGAGGAAACAGTTTTCTTAACTTAACATTGACAAATTTCGGCGTATAAATATTAATTAGTTTATGTCACTTTAATGCATCTTCAATCACAATTTTACTTTTTATGTGAGATTGTCTCACGCTGTGCAAAGTGCGACTTCTACAAAAGCTGTTTCCTTGAAAATAACACACAATTTTAGAAGAAAATAAACGATGTTTAATATGTTTAATTGTAGAACGGTATATGGGCGTGGGTATGGATGAAGTGTAAATAAAGAACACCTACACTCACATCCAAATCTTTTCCAAAGTATGTAGGAATTTTACGTTTGTTTTGAATGAACTTGAGATAATTTCTATCTGATTATTCTTGAACGAAAATAAAAGGTATTAATTGTAAAGGCATCATCAAGCAAGATTAACCTTACGAATCAATAATATCATGTTAAATATTAAAAAAAATAGTATTTAGAGTTTTTATCTAAAAATATAGATGAAAGTGCATTTGATATATGCTCTCTAATTGATATCAAAATAACAAATGATATAATAATAACTAACTAGCTTTTTCTAGAATCTATATTTGAATAAAATTGTTATTGATTATGATACTGATAATGAAGGTAATAATGATAATTTTCATCAACCACAAGTATCATCTTCGTATGGTATGTAAAATAAATTTACAAAATACGTATTTTTCATAAGTTTTTTTTCAATGAGATTGTATCGTGGACCTGATGGCTCGAATTATGGTCATGTCATTCGTACTAACATTAGTGATTCTTTTTTCTTCATTTGACGAAATAATAAATATAGTTATTATAGCAATGTTAACATTAGTGAATATCAAACATTAAGCTAGAAGATTGAATTTCATATTAAATATCTAATGAATTTCCATTAATATGAATTTAATTAGAAGATTTATATCTATACGTACTTCTATTTTGTAAACTTATTATGTTTGCCTCAAAGACAAAGTTTCAGTTTAATATTGATTTATTCAAAGAAGTATAGATAATTGTTTTGAAAATGACTTTGTTGTCTTCGATTTCTCTTAGTTGTTAGACCACTTATTTTTTCACTATACTAATTGTTATAATATTTGTCTTAATCGCAATCTCTAAAAACCTATAAGGTGATGGAAATCAATTTAAAAACAAATTGTACTGTTCAAAGTTCTCATGATGAATTGAAGTAAAATTGAATGTTGTTATTTTTATTGAAAGTAATTATTTCCAGAGATATGATGAAACATTGATTCATATAGTTCAAGAGAGAAAATACTAATTGCTTCAATATGATATATTTGCAATTAAGCATATCGTGAAAAAGAAATCTTTTCACAAAATAAGTATTATGAGTGTGAGTGTGGGTCTTTTATTCATCTACATTAACACCCTGACTACACCCACATTCCCACATACGAGTTATCATAGAAATACTTGCATTTTATCAAACATATTCATCTTAGCTCTGATATAGTCTTAACAAAATGTACTACGAGAAGAGTGACGGATAATATGACAAATATATTCGAAGCAGTATCAATGTTCATAATATAAAGTATAGGTTACAATTGATATATAGTAATCTTCGTTCTCAAAATAATGATAAAGCCTAATTTATTCACCATAACTGTAATCAAATCAAAGACTCATCTTAGCCGTTTCTTGGGTTAGTAATATTTTATTTCTTCCTACAAGTTTAACCAATAGTGATACAATATATTTTAATATTGTCACCATATCACCAACTAAATCGAACAATATAGTCATAATATAAATTAGATCATTTCTCGTTGCATAATTAAGTTGTAGCGTATCGGTTGACATACATTCTAATAACTTTCATACACCATAGATAAGTTCCATTGTTCAATCATTAATTCATCAATAGATTCTTGTATTGTTGAATTTTTAATAAAATGACTTGCAAAAAATGAATCCTTACTGTTATATTCATGAGAGGATAATATGTAACATATGATTGTAGTTGATTGGTACATGTTCGATTGCAAAAATATTGGAGAGTTGATTGTAATAATTCTTCGATTACAAAACATCTTAAGGGTGTAGGTATGGGTGCGTATGTGTATCTTGTTTGATTGTACATCAACACCCACGCCAACCAAGTTCCCAGCCTTCTCATTAAAAACCAACATCATGACATAAGTAACTATCCTAAGTGTTATTCAATCATCTGATCTCTTAATCACCTGGCTAACTGACTATTGTTTCACGTTGCACGATATTGAGTATTCATCAATGCATATGGAAAAAAAATTCATCGGTATTGCATTGAAACGTTTTTTAGTGTAATCTTTTGATTAGTATTCCAGAAAAGTGGGAATTTCAATTTATTAATTTCATAAAAGTTGTTCAAGAGAAAAAGAACAAAGAAATGATAGTTCGAGAAAGAATGAATTCTTTGTAAGAACATGACAGAAAACGTATTGAATTTTTATATTCATTTTTTTTCTACTCTTTTCACATTCACATCGTTCATTTTTAATCTTGATGGATAGTTAGACTTCAAATTCAGCTTGAATCGCCCAATGATCCGAACAGAAACGTTGAATCGATTGAATGATTTCCAGACCTTCAAGTTTGAAAGCTACTGGTTTAAATTTGACCATAGGTGACGTTGCTGCTCGAAAATACAATCGATCAAAACGACAACGAGGTTGAAAATTATTCGCTGAAAAGTCAAGGTTTGTATTTCGTTGCATGTCCCATGTATAGGCATATTCTTGATGTTTGCCCATTTCAATCCATAAATCACAAATACCAGCCGGAATATCACCCGCTTTTACCAGCTAAAATAGAAACATGACTGTTAGTTGATTTCGATGAAAGACCATACATTTAAGGAACTGATGAAGTTTCATACTCCATTTTGGCAGAGATACAAGTGATGGAGAAAGCTCAAACCAGACAGGATCTATCGGTATATCTCAGTCCAATTAAAAATTATCATGAATCGAAAGAACAAAATTAGATGTATCAATACTTTATTCTCTTATAGCAACGAAAGAATTTGACTTAAAGTGATCTACTCGTACTTTATCTATTTGATTCAAGATTGTATTCTTACTGTACAAGAATGCATAATTTTATCCGGAATAGATTAGTATCATTATTCAACTAGTCTACTAGATTCGTGATACTATATCAATAGACTAATGGTACTAATAATGATAAGTGATAAACTAGCATCGACAACTATTAACGATTTGACAAGTTGCTATAGTAATATAAGGCGTATGTATCACATAAATATTTCAGTCTTAATAAAGTTTGACTAGAAAATGATCGATGATATTACCAAGAAACTTATTATCCTGCGGAAACAAATTTGAACAAGGCAAATCTTGAAGAACAAACACAATTGACAAATGGTGAAAGAAATGATGAGCGATTGTAGAGTCATTTGATTACGAACCCACTCTAAGTTGTAGATCTGGATCTGTTGGTTTGTTTTCTATTCGAAGACAGAATATCTCGATAAGTTTTATATTCTCTAACAAAGTATAGCGATTGAAGATGGTTAATGATAATGCATGATAACGAATTTGAAGGAAAAACTTTCGAACCAAATGTCTTACTCATAACTGTTTGTTGATCAATTTGAAACTTACGATTATTGTTTACTATTAGTGAAGTCTCCATTGCACGTAGACTCATTTGGCGTTCACAAAATTATTCGAAATATTATACTTGTATTTTTAAGTTTTAAATAAATCTCGGTTCAATTTATGTCACGTCTTCGAAATGCAAAAAATATTGGGTGTATTGTTTATTTAGCGTTGCTTCTCTTTGTCGTAGACAAAATCTTGAAAAGACGACCTTTCAAAATTAATAAAACCTCAAATGATTAGTCGAAAACCATTTGGTTTCTAAACTTTTGAAAGAATGTTCAGAATTCAAAATGATACATCGGGTTGTTTAATTAAAAAACTAATTTCATTTTGTATCTACTGGAATAGAGTGAGGACATCCGCGATGATAAGTAGGTCGAACTATGAAAATTAATTTGTGTCGGACTTTGATCGCCTTATTACCTTTGAAAGTCTTAGAATAAGAAAAAAAAAAGCTTGACTATAAAGATAAGTTGTAGTCTCATTTATTTTTGCATTTTTGAAGAGAAAAATGTTCTGTACGTGAAAAATCTCACCTCATTGTCACGCATATTCAAATCACCACCAAAGAGAACAATTCGATTTGCTGGAGTCTCAACCATTTTTTTGAAGCATAACTTCAATTGTCGGATACGCTCATCAGCTCCTGGTTGGCAACTTTCGTGATGGCTTGTCATCAAATCGATCTCGATGGAACCTTCATAGATAACCTGAAATATATCGAATATTGTTACTTGATATTTGAAAGTAATTTTCAAATAGCTTACATGAACAATCAGTAAATTTCGATCCATTTGTGTACCTGGATAAGGGATCACTTCGTGACTTTGTACTTTAAGAATATCACGTCTTGTTAATATAGCCACGAAATAGCCTGTGATATTACCTGAAAGACAACACTTCGCTCAATCTTCATATAAATTCACTCACCAGTATAGAAATCATATTCCGATAAAGAATTATTCAGTAAAAAAAGTGATTCTGGAATAACTTCTTGAAGAAAGACAGCATCCGGTTTTTCTCTAGAAAATAAAAGATACATTCATTTCCACTATGAATCAGAGACCGAAACGAATAAGAAAATCTTCCTTTAGATGTGATTCCACTTGCATTCACAAAAAAAATGTTACTGTTGTCACACAAGTTATATACTACATATGTGATGATTTTCTTTTTGAGGAAGTTATTTATACTTCTGTTTTTTGTATATTTGATCTATTTATATATATTGAAACATCATTTTGTTTCTTTTTAGAGAAAAATTACAATAGAAAGTAAATTTCTATTGAATAAAACGATTCGTAAAAGTTCTATATTAATGAATAGGAGAACATGGATGGTAATTGATGATTGAAAGATCGGTTTTTTATGAGCGGAATGTAACTTTGAACATTGGCCAAGCGAAAACTGATCAAGACGACTATCAGTCAAAAACTTTGTACTAAAGTGATAAAAGACTATTTTAAGGAAAATTTTATTTGAAAAAAATAGGTGAAACAGATTCAAGGGAAATAATTGGTAGAAATCGCTCAAGAATCTTCATGTTATTTCAAATTGCTTATCTTTTTTTTATAAACGTCTATTATTAAAATTTAAAATATTTTTTTTTCTGCAAAACTGATCATAACAAACGATTGTTATGAAGTAGTAAACAAATAATGATTACAGAAGTGCTAAACTTATCAAACAACATTTTAACTGTTATCTGCGTCTGTATTATTTGGATATCTTTATACAATCAACACTTCTGTCTACAATTATTAAACACACTTTTTTTTACTTCTTAATCGGTATTTTCTTTTGTATCTATGTAATTCATTTCAGTCGATTATCATCATATAACATAACTAAGTCAATTTAATTAATATTATCGAGATAGTGAAAGAATATGTTTCAACTTCTATCTTTGTTCCTTCTTTTTTCCTATGCATTTCTGATCCAGAGAACAAAAAACGAATAAAGGCATTTCCATTCAATTCTACTCAATTCGATTTCAGTCTCTGTTATGAATTCTATGTTACATAGAACGAAAATGAATGAACATGTTTTAGTATTGTCTTTGAATTATGAGTATATTCTCTTACCGTTGTATGACAGCAACAACACCACGAGTTCTTTCTTCAAGTGTATGTTGAAGTCTATCTAGTCCATCGATGTTCCATGAAATTAATTTGAAACGTTTATTCATGCTTAATTCGGCTTCGGTAAAAATCGGTAGTGATGCAGCATTTTTGCTTACATTCATTTCTTCTATTGATGCACTGATATTTGAAATGAAGAAAAGAAAAGGCGCATTTAATTATCAGAAAAAAAATGTGACTTTCACCTGAATGTATTCTTTTCATTCTGTGTCTTGCCGCTAAAACAGCTGTTGTATAGTTAATTCTGTCTTCTTTTTCTTATTAAGTCGACTGACTGCACGAAGTGCCGGCAGAGTCGACTTATTGCTTTTCACTCGTTTAATTCCCATGATAAATTCTTCTTCTTCTTCTCCTCGACGCATGAGTCACGATTCAAGTCAACTACTCATACTCAGCTCCCATGCATCATTTTGAGTCGAAAAACAGCTTGGCGTGATCCAGAAAACATGACGAGTGCACATCTGAAATCCGTTTCTTGAAATTCGGCATCGTTCGGGAGATATAAAAAAAGCGACACTGATAATTAACAGCTGATAGTTTCCTTATATGATTATGAATGATTCAATCTTAGATAACCATTCACATCTAGGATAGTAAGTGCATACATATTTTAATTATCGACTTGTGCGACTTAAAATCGTTCATGATAAAGTCTGAAACTTGTAGAAATTTTTTTCGAATGGCGACCAAGCAATTGAAATAAACATACAGAAAAACAATAATAAACAGCTGATAGTTTCTTTATATGGTGATGAATGATTCAGTCTAGAACCAACCATTCATATCTAAGACATTCAATGCATGTATGTTTTAATTAATTGTCGCCTTGTGCGATTTAAAATCGTCCGTCATGAGGTCTCGAGAGTCAGAGAAAAATTTTCGAATGGCCGCCAAGCAATGAACATCTAGTCTGGAGTCAGCCGACATTTCATCCAGCGCACAGCACTGAATGGCACTCTAGTTTATCTTGTTTTTTACTTTCATACATGTAAAACTTGAAAGTTGAATTCAATCTATGTTTCAAGTTCCAGGTTCCAACCACAAAAGGACATACATCGCATCTCTCTCGATGTGGTAGGTGCGGGTATGGAATTGATTTATGTTGTCATTAACACTCACACAGTCATACCCAGGTCCTGACTGGCTTACATAGGTTTACTATCAATTTTCATGGTTTTAATAATCCAGAAATACGAGCTCAAAAACCTTCAACGAAAAAATGTCTAGCCGTCATCAGCGTTGGGTATGAGTACGGGTGTCTGTCTTGTATTCAACCACACTCATATCCACACAAACAACCAATCAATATCAACACATTTGAAAACCACCAAATTATTGTCATTATTTCTGCATAAAATAGAACAGCCAAACATGGTTGAAGACACTTTGTCACAATATAGTGTGGGTATGGGTGTGGCCGGGCATGAATGTTAGTAAATATTAGACATCACACTCATACTCTTCAAGCTGGAATGAATAGATAAGAAGTTGGACAAATAGTTAGATTTTTATTATGAAAAATTAATAAACAACATAACATCCATTCTTTTTAGGTGTGTGTGGGTGTTTGTATCTTCTTTGATTGTCCACCAATACCCACACCCACTCCGACACCTCACCCTCTATACGTGGACATTTTGACAGTTCAATCAACAAAGATAAGCCAGGACTCGATTTCGTCATACAGAAAGAAAAATATAACAACTGGATCATCTCGAAGTGGGCTACTCGAAAATAAGTATCAGATAAAAATGTATTAAAAGAAATTCGGTTGAAAATATGTGTTTGTAAAATTAATTAATTAAACAAGTATATTTAGGAAAATGTGCGATCAACATTATTTTGTTTCAACCCCAATTTTAGTTCAAGTTAAAATTTTC